TTTTATTTTATTTTATTTTATTTTATTTTATTTTATTTTATTTTATTGTTTTTTTGTTTTTGTTTTTGTTTTTGTTTTTTGAGAGAGAAAGAGCATGTGGGGAAGGGCAGAGAGAGGGAGAAAGAGAATCCCAAGCAGGCTCCAGGCTGCAAGCACAGAGCTAGATGGGGCTCAAAGTCACGAAACTGTGAGATCATGACTTGAGCAGAAACGAAGAGTTGAACGCTCAACCAACACCCAGGTGCCCCCAAAAGGATTTTAAAGCTATGAGATATCTTTAGGGGTCATTTGGGACATTTAAATATAGACCACATATTATGTGTTAGGGAATTATTGTTAACTTTCCTAGATGTGATAATGGTATTGTGTCACAGAGGAGGCTGTTAGCAGTGGGAGCTGCTTGCTGAAGAGTGTGGGAGAGTGTGAGTGTGTGTGTGTGTTAGAGAGAGAAGAATCAAATATGGTAATACAGTACCCGAAGCAGGTGGAAGGCAACCGGTGTCCATAGTATTATCCTTCCAACTTTTCTCTATGTTTGAATACACTCATAGTAAAAAGTTAGGGAGCAGAAGTATATATATTTGTATTTGCATTAATAAACAATGGAAGGATACATTAGGAACTAGATGGACACCTGTAAATCAGCAGAGGTGGAAAGTGGAGGCGGCAAGGTGTTAAAACGTATATTATTACAGCATTTTGAATTTTGAAGCTGTGACTTGATTACTTTTATTAAAAGCATATACTTGCCATAAAATACATATCTAAATCAAGAGCGTTCCCTAAAAATGTAAATTGCTGGTTTCCAAGAGCCTTCCCACGCAGCAGTTAGTGGGAGCCCCGTGGCTGCTCCCTCATAGAGGGACAGGTTGGGGGACCCCACTTCACCTTCCATCCCTCCCTCCTCCCCACCTCCCCACCCACCTCTGGCATGTCCCATCTTGGTCCCTGCAGGGCTCTGCACGGGGCCTCTGGAGGTCTCCATGCAGTCTCTGACACCCTCACCCCACCTGTCACCTCAGCTGCAACCTGGGCCTCATTCCAGACTCCCTGCTCTTGCTCGGCACCCACTCTGTTACCAAATCCTGTTACTTTATCTCCTAAATACCTTCCGAAACCCTCTCCTGTGGCCAAGACACTGTCACTCCTTCCTGAAGACTGTGTTCCCTCCCGGTGTCTTAACACCCACCCCCCTTATCCACCTCTGGTCCCTCTGGGCTATCCTCCACCCCCTCCCCACCCCCAGAATGCTCAGACTTCTTTTCTGCTTCAGGTCTTCAGAGGTTCCTCTTTCTCTCCCAAGTCCAGACCCCTGAGCTTAGCAACAGGGCCCTTTCTGAGCTGTGCCCTTCTCCCCTCCCCAGCTCCTACTGTGATCACCAGCTTTACCCTTTGGCTCAACCAACCCCCCCCCCCAAGTTCACCCAACACCTCCTGCAGCTTTTCTTTTCCAGGTCCCTGTACATGCTGTTCCCTCTAGCTAGGACACCTTTGCTTCCCCGTTGCCGCAGCTCAGTGTCAGGCACCAAGCAAGTGCTTAATAAATGTGTGGAAACGAATGTGTATTCCTGCATCCATGCATGCATTCATGCATTCATTCATTCATTCATTCATTCATTCATTCATTCATTCACAGGCACCCCCACCTCCACACCCAAGCCGCTCAATGGATGAAGACTTACTCCTTGGGCCTATGTGGCCTTTTCACCCCAAAGACGCTCAGGTCCTCCTCCCATTCACGGTAAGCGTGAGGAGGCTGTTCCTCTTTCCAATCTGGAGAGCAGGTTGGGCAGAAGCTGTCATTATTGCTTTTATTATCACTCCTACTACTGCGACAACTGACTTCTGCACAGCTCTCTCTCTCTGAATAACAACCGCCACATTGTTGCGCACGTACTATGTGCCAGGCACTACGTTAAGTGCTTCTCTTGGCTTGTTTTAATCTCACGGTAACCTTGTGAGGCAGGCGGTTATCATCCCCATTTTCCTGATAGGGAAGCAGAGGCTCAGACCTAAGCAGAGCTGGGACTAGCCCTTTTAACGCTTTCATGTGCCACCGACGGCCTTGCCCTCTACCAGGGCTCTCCTTGAAACCCTCCACCCACTCCTTTCCCAAAGGCCCAGAAGGGCCGCGGACACCAGCGGCAGCCAGGTGGCCTGACCTTTGCGGCAGTAGGTGGTGGACCGGCAGTGCTCGTCCGAAAGACAGGCCCTGACAGAGTCCATGTCCATGCGGCGCAGGCTGGGCAGGGCCGGGTGGTACAGCTGTCGCTTCACGCCTGCCAGCTGGTTGCGCGTCCGCGCCACCGGCAGCGAGATGGCCGGGGACGCGTACACGTGGGTGGAGCCGTCCTTCCAGGGCACCAGGTCGACGATGCGGGCCATGGCTGGGGAGCAGAGACACCCCGACCAAACACTCTCCTGTGGGGTAGCGCGACCTTGGCCAGTGCGGATTTGTCTACTCGCCCAACGGTTATGGACGATGTACCCTCGGCTAGGAGCTCCCCATGTGGTGTCAGGGGCACCCGGACTCACGCACGCATGCGCAAACACACGACGTGCTCAGGGCTCTGACAGGTGAGCACAGGGTGTGTGTGGTTGGGAACGGTCTAAAAGAGGAGGCGTAAGAGTCTTCTATTCTTAAGTAATGATCAGGAAGAAGCAGCAGCAAGTGGGTTCAGAATTTAGCTCAGTCTGCCTCTGGGTAGCTAATTATGGACTTCTGGCCTTAGCTAAAGTGCCTGGCATTTACTCAAAATTCTACAGGGAGACATAGGAAAGTTTTAAATAAGGGGAGAGGCATGAACTACAAGAGATATGAACTACAAAAGCATTGCTGGTTGCTCAGTGCCTCCCTTTAAAGAGAGGCTATTCCCACAGCCTTTCGGTCATTTAAACGTTAGGAGAATATGTTGAGCCGGCTTGCTTTCTTCTTGACCCAGTTACAGGTGCGAGAGGGAGGTGGGCGGTAAGTGGGTAGGAGGGGCGAGGACCTTGGACCAGGGAGCAGGGAGAGGGCAAGGTGGCTGGCCTGAGGAAGCTGTCTCAGGGGGTAGGCCTGCATGGGGAGGATGGGGAATGGGGCGGGGAGAAGTGGGGGGGAAGGGACACACTGCTCCTCACCCACCGACAGTGGCTACCTTGTCTGCAGGGCACAGGCCCCAGATGCACAGGCCTATGAGGGTTTTCTGCTCTTCTGACTACTCAGTGGGGAGAAGAGGCAGGAAGATGGGCTGGCCTCAGAGCCTTATACAGTAGGAGCACAAAGGAACATTCTGCGGAAACAATGCCCACTGCAGCCTGATTGTGAGGACGCCTGCTCCTCGGCAACCCTGGCAACTGTAGGCTCTGAGGAGAGGAGCCAGCTAGCAAGGGTGCTGTGAACTGGCCCCCGCTTTCAGCTTTCCTGAAGGTTGCTGTCTCCCAAGCCTTAGCACAAGCCAGGCATGTTGAGAAATGTCCGAAAGGAAGTGGGCTCCCTGGAGGCAGCCATACCAGGGCTAGCCAGGGCAGGCTGTGTGATCCTGGACTAGTCGCTGTCTCTCTCTAGGTCTCAAGGCTCTGTGTTAGGCAAGACCCTAGGTCCTGCCATGCAGGGCGACTGTGGGCTCTCCTGGAAACCTGAGGGCACTGCCCTGCCTGCCTGCCAGCCCTTGGGTCTCCAAGGGTGGCGATTAGCAGTGGCCAGTATCCAGGGTCAGCACAAAGGGATCAGGGAGAGTGGTGGCCTCAGCAGGATAGGGATTAGCAGGTGATATTCTAGCCCTGGCCCACTGGAGTCCTGCAGCCTCCCTCCCTCCTTCCCAGGAAACAGAGGTCATGAGTGCCTAAGCCCAGCACCTGAAAGCCCCGGGGCCTGCCCACCATCCTGGTCACAACCATTGGTGATAGACCCCACATGTGAGGAAACCCTGGGGAGAGTCTGACTTGTTTGCCTGTATTGGCATATGCCCCACATACAACTGTCCAGGTGCTGAGAGTGACAGGTCCAGAGACCCCTCCTGTGAGGTTCACACAGGATTTGGCTCCCTACCTACTCCACCTCCAGGGCTCCATACAGCTCCCAGACAGCATCCCCCAAGCCCTACTCCTCAGAGAAGACTTTCCCGGAGTTGAGTCTACTCACCACCCCACCTCCAGTTTATTTTTCTTTTAACGTTATAAAATATAAAAAAATACAGAGAATGCATAAATATAGAATGTAACTAATAATTTATAAAGCGAGAGCTCGTGTACTATTATTCAGGTCAAGACAAGAGGTACTACTTTGCAAAACTGATTAGCAGTTTCTTAAAACATGAAACATAAAATTACCATATAACAGCAATTTTACCCCTAGGAATCTTCCCAAGAGAACTGAAAATATATAGGTCCAGGCAAAAACTTACATGCAAATGTTCACAGCAGCATTATTTCAAACAGCTAATAAGTGCAACAACCCAAGAGTCCATTGACTAGTGAGTAAATAAATTCCACCATGGAATACTCAAGAATTAAAAATTATTATTGTTTATTAAATTTTTTTTATTGTTTATTTATTTTTGAGAGAGAGAGAGAGAGAGATACAGAGCATGAGCAGGGAAGGGGCAGAGAGAGGGAGACACAGAATCTGAAGAAGGCTCCAGGCTCTGAGCTATCAGCACAGACACCGACACGGGTCTTGAACCTGTGAACCATGAGATCATGGCCTGCACCGAAGTCAGACGCTTAACCGACTCAGGGCCCCCCAAATTAAAAAAAAATTTAAGTTTATTTACTTATTTTGAGAGAGACAGAGACAGTGTGAGTGGGGGAGGGGCAGAGAGAGAGGCAGAGAGAGAGAACCCCAAACAGGCTGCATGCCACCAGCACAAAGCCCAATGCAGTGCTTGAACTCATGAAACCGTAAGATCATGACCTGAGCCGAAACCAAGACAGATGCTTAACCAACTGAGCCACTCAGGCACCCCGGAATACTCAAGAATTAAAAAGAAATGAGGTATTGATATATGCTCCCATGTGGAAGATCCTCAAAGACATTTTGCTAAATGAAAGAAGTCCAACAAAAAACCAGTCTGCTTGTTGTATGATCCATTTATATAAAATGTCCAAAAAAGGCCAATTTTAGGGGACAGAAAGCTGATTAGTGGCTGTCAGGAGCTGTGGCTGAGTATGGGGAGTGATTCCCATGAAGCATGAAGGGTCTCATTGGGACAACAACGGCAATGTTCTAGAACTGGATGGTGCAGGTTGCAAAGCTCAGTCAATTTACTAAAAATCATTGAGCTGTACAGTTAAAATGGGAAAATTTTATGGCTTATAAATTATACCTCAGTAAAGTTGTTTTAAAAAATTGATGCCAGCTAAAGAAAGCAAGAAATGATGCCAGCCCCTAGAAGCTTCCACCTGCTCCTCCCCAGTTCCAACCCCCTGCAAGAGGTAACCGCTCTCTGGCTGCATAACGTCACCACATGACTGCTGCTTTTCTTTTTCCTCTTACTACCTACGTGTGCAGCCATACACAAGACAGGCTCATTTTGCCCCTTTTGAACTTTGTATATACGGACATTGGGGTCTTTTGAGCCTGGCTTCTTTCCCTCCATACATATGTGCACATGAGGGTCATCCAAACTGGTGTGTGGCCAAAGTTTGCTCATGTTCGTCGCCCTAGAACCCCTTACTCTTCCCCCAGTCACATCTGGCTTTGCCCACTCCCCAGGGGCTCCGCTGCCTCCAGGTTGCTCAGCCCAGGGAGGAGGGCACAGACCAAGCCTCACTCATGCAGGGTCCCGTGCCATTACTCCTCCCCCAGCGCCTCACTCCCCTTGGCTTGCAGCATGCTCGCTTTCTGCTCTCCCATGTGCCAGAGGGCTCCAGGGGCCATCTTTGTCCCCTTCTCTTCTTTAGTTGCATTGAATTTCCCAGGGGTTCTGAATCTGGCTTGTGGCTTTACACAGCATGTAGAAGCTGAGCTCGTGAGTCCAACATTTCTTTTCTTTTTTTCATTTTTAAAGTTGATTTATTTATTTTGAGAGAGACAGAGACAGCATGAGCAGGGGAGGGTCAGAGAGAGGGAGAGAGAGAATCCCAAGCAGGCTCTGCACTGTCAGTGCTGAGCCTGACGTGGGGCTCCAACTCACTGACTGTGAGATCGTGACCTGAGCAGAAACCGAGAGTCAGATGTTTAACTGACCGAGCCACCCAGGTGGCCCTAACATTTCTATCTCCCCAAACTCCAGACACACACGCACAGCCCTCGCCAGCTACTGCACATTTCTACTTGGATGTCTCTCAGACATCTTACCAAAGTAAAGTTCATGATTTCCCCTCCCCTCCAAACTCTTCCTCCCACCTCCCAGCTCCAGGCTTCCTCTTTTGGGTAAGTGGCACCACCTGCCACCCAGTTGCCCGAGCTGCACCCTCAACACCTCCCTTTTCCTCCCCCTCCCCTTTCTCTCTGCCTCTGCCACCCACCAGCCCAAGCCGTGTCACCTCTGCATGGGCCTCCATCCAGCTAGAGGCGAGGGTGAATGTCACCGATCTCACCAGCCATTGCTTGGAGGCCGGGCAGAGTTGAAGAACTTGCTGTCCCCAGCCAGGGCCTGGCCAGAGGTGCTGTGGGAGGAGCCCTTATCCCCTGCAGCCTGGCATATTTATGGAGGACACACAGGGGCCACCTTGAGCTCCGTTATTGCTGTTGGCCCTCGCTGGCAGAAAGAACATCCTCCCATGCCAGCCACCTTGGGGAGTTGCATAACAGGGGCCATGCACGAGGCTCTGGGGAGGAGTGATCGCATGGGACTGTGTGTGAGTGAGGCTTGGTCTGTGGCTCCCTCCCTGGGCTGAGCAACCTGGAGGCAGCGGAGCCCCTGGGGAGTGGGCAAAGTCAGATGTACCTGGGAGAAGAGAAGGGGGTTCTAGGGCGAGGAAAATAAACAAACTTTGGCCATACACCAGTGTGGATGACCCTCATGTGCATATATATGGAGGGAAAGAAGCCAGGGGTCATCCGGTCATAGAATGATTTGTTGCTCTGCAGGCTCCTGACCAGTGCACATGCTCACTGCACATCAGCTGGACAGGTGGTGCCTGGCCCCTGTTCAAAATCATTATGGGCTTTCCTGGTCCGTCCACTAAAACCCAAAGTCCTTACCATGGTTTACGGGCCCTATGTGATCTGTCCTGGCTGACCTCGATCTCATCTCCCACCGCTCTTCGTTATACCCACTAACCCTCCGACCCCTCCCTGTTCCTTGGGTGCATCCAGGCTCATTCCAGCCTCAGGACTTTACCCTTGCAGTGTCTTCTGTCTGGAACACGGTCCATTCAGCTCTTGCTTTTCATGGCTTGGCCCAAATCTCCCCCTCTGGATGGAGGCCTGCCTGCCCTCCTCCCACTGACACACTCGTGTCTCTGCCCTGCTTGTGCACACTGCTGGGCACACAGGAGGAGCTCAGGAGATGGTGTGGGTGACCTAGTCCCCATCCCTTGCTGGCTACCCCTCTCCTCTACTCTCACCCAGTTCTTGTCATCTCGCTGAGCCCTTCTTCACTGGGCTGCCGTCCCTGTCTCCCTGAAGATCTCTGTCTCCCTGCTAGGGCCGGACCTCAGTTCGCGGGGCTAGCTCACACGCAGTCAGCCATCCCTCAGTCCTTGGATTCTTCCTAAAGGCCCAGCTCTGGGACCATGGCCCACCGGACAGAGCCCAAGGCAGGGGCTACTGAGGTCCTACCAAGCTGCAGAAGACTCTGGCCCAGAGAGACTCTGCCTGAGTCCTGGATCTGAAGCTGGAGGGCTGGGGTGTGCCTCCTGCCACTGCTGACTGACAGTTGACAAGCCTCTGCCACCTAGAGTCTCCCAGGATCACATGGGGACATCAAGTTGTTATTCTCCCACCGGCCACCCTGTGGCTTGGTCAAGGTATGTGGCAAACTGGGCCCCTGGAACCTGGGGAGGTCCCCTGGTGACTCATGGTGTCCCAAGCAGGTCCACATGGGGCTCCTTCCCTGGGACCTAGATCCCTGCTGGCCCCTAGAGGGTTACTGCTGGCTGCCTGGGCCTGGAGCTCCTGTCTTCCACCACCACCTCCCCACCCCTGTTCGGCCCCTGCTAATCCTTTGCACACGGCACCACTGCTGCCTATTAATCCCCCCTGTGTCTGAGAGACCGGCCGCAAGTGTCAGGGACAAGGCAATTCCTGGCTGGTGGTTGGCATCCGAGCAGGTAACTCGGGATGAGGTGGTAGCTGGGTGTGGGGCCTGGTAGGAACCCCCATGCTCTCCTTCTAGCAAGGCATCTAGACTTGGAGAATAGGGCAAGACAGGAAAACTGGGCTTCTCTCTCTGCCTGTGGGACTCAAACCTTAGTGAATCTTCAGAGGCAGCTTATGACATGCAGATTCCAGGTCCCGCAGAGGGTTTAGAGGGGCATAGGAACCTGTATTTTCCCTAGCTTTCCAGAAGATTCTGAAAAGCTGGTGATCCCAGCATCATAGTTACCCTGGGGTCTGAAGTCACCCTTCCTACCTTAGCCTCCCTTATCAATGTGGAATCAGCAGGGCCATGCAAATATTTCCATCCTGGAGGAAATGACTGGGTCTGAGGGAAGAAGAAAAATTGGGAGTGGGGAGAGCTTCCTTAATCATTTCCAGGAGGTTCAGACACAAACTGGGAAAAGGTTTGCAGGACTGGCCTGCAGAAGCCAACCCTGGGCAAATGTCAATAGCACCAGAGGTGGATGTGAGACACCTGGAGTCCAGTGGACCTGAATGTAACTTGGCTTGGCTGCTTACCGGCCGGGTCACTTTGGGCAAGTCTACTCCTCTCTCTGTGCCTCTGTTTCCTGAGCTACAAAGTGGTAACAATTATTTTCCTGAGGCTGGTGGCAGGCAGGGAGAACGAGGATGAATGTGATCAAGGGTGGAAGACACGTAGCTCAGTCTTGCCTCATGGGGCTGGCTGGGGCTGGCTGGGGTTGGGGGAATCCTCCATCCTAAACACATGGCCTTGGGCTCTACCAACCCTGGAAATCACTGTGTCTGTGTCCCCACCCAACAAGGAAATGGAAGGCCGGAGAGGTTCATGTCTGGCTCAGGTTCACCTTTTTGGAGGCTGAGTCAGGGATCTGATTTCCCACCCTGAGCTCTGCCCCTGTAGCACAGCCTCTCCCAGGACAGCTGGTGCTGAGGCCAGAGCGGGGGCAGAAGTTGGGGCTGTGAGCAGAGGGCAGGAGGCACAGCCAAGGGGCTGTGGGGAACGGGCACTAGGGCATGGATCCTGGGTCCTGTGCCTGTCCTTTTCAGCCTGGGGCCAGTGTCCTTGGCAGAGGAGGGACAGAGAAGCACTCTATCATGTTGGGCATCTCCCCAGAAGGGTCCTTTCAAGGGTGGGAGTTTGCACCTACTGCCCTGTGTGGTGCCCCTGGGCCAGGCCATCCTGCGGAATTTAGTCATAAGAGCGGAGGCCTCCCATTCCCAGAAGATAAATGTTGCCAGAAACTGTACCCATAGAAGGTAGGGCTGAAATATCACAGTAAATCTTGAAAAAGGGATTTAATTCTCATTTTATCTTAAAATTGTTTGAATCATGAAAACAGGTTAATTTTTATGTTAAAGCATTTTCTGTTCATATGCTATTCACAATGTAGTTTTAAAAATCCATGTTGGGATCATGCTGAATGTGATATTCTACAATTACTGTTCTTGCTTGACACCAAATAATAGCCATAGCCATTTGTTAAGTGCTCAGTGTGTGCCTGCCATGTTCTCACCAGTTTATTTTATCCTCACAATGATCTCCACGAGATAGGTACTGTAACATCCCCATTTTACAGACAAGCAAACTGAGGCACAGAGAGTTTAACTGATTTGTTCATTCCTGGAGTCCAGAGTATGTACATCTTTCCATATTAGTTCAAACTGATCCACCTTTTTTATGGCTCCATGGTATTCCATTATCAGATGTATTGTAATTTATTTAATATGCGTTCCTCTTATAGGTGAACATTTAGGAACTTTCTAATAACCAGATCCCTACAGGTAAATATTTGGGTGTTTTTCATCTTTTGCTATGACACTGTTGTGACCAAGCTCTTTATACACGTTTTTGGCCTTAGTATCTCTATCAGGTGAATACCTGGAGGAATAATTTGCAAAAATGTTTTTAAAGATGAATGAGAGAAAAGGGAAATGTGTGACCCACCTAAGTGGCGCCCAAATGGTGGGAGCAGCAGTGGACACTCTGGGGAGGCCTAAGGACTCTGTCTCCTACAGGCGTCAGGATGTGGAGCTGGGTCCAGAGGGTGCTGCCTCAGCCCCCAGGGACCCCTCAGAAGACAAAGATGGAGGAGGAGGAGGGGGCAGAACCAGAACCGGAGGCGGAGCTGGAACCAGAGCCGGCGCCTAAAACAGCTCTGAAGGAGGCCGAGCTAGGGGACGAATCCCTGGTAAGAGGCTGCAGCCATGCTGGCCTTATGGCTCCGGAATTCCCAGCTTGGGTCAGCTGCCCCCCCGGGGACCTTCTACGAGGGGACTCGAGCACATCCAAACTTGCCAGTTCTGCATCCCATCCGTTCAGGAGCCTGATGACAACTAGTTCAGAAGCTCAGTTAAAAAGATTTGATTTAGCATCTAATGGATGCCAGGCCTGTGCACTGTGCTAGAAGCGTAATGGTGAATAAGACGTTGCCCCTGGGGGTCAGCAGACAAGTACCAGCCAGGTCATTCTACCAGGAGACAGAGGTGATGAGAGAATTTGGGGAGCTCCAACACTGGATTCAGCTCTCCCCTCCCAGGAGGGCCAAATGAGTATATCAGACAGAAGTATGCGAGCTCAGAGGAGGGAGAGAATCATCTTAACTTTGGAGAGTGGAAGCTGGTGGGGTTTGCTCCTAGACACAGAGGGTGAGCCCACTTGTGACTGGAGATGGTGAGGCGGGGCGTGCCTCGTAGAGGAAGGGCTTGTCCTGGGCAGCACGGGGTATATACAGGAAACAGTGACCACCCAGGTAGAGAGTTTGTGTGCATATGTGTTTGCACGTGCACACATGTATGTACACATATGTGCATGCCCTGTGTCCTTAAGTGGTATGTCTGTGCATACATATGTATTAGCAAATTGTGTGCACACAAACACATGCACATATTTACATGTATTTGTATGCACACGTGTATGTCACATGCCTTGGTGTGTCTGTAGGGTGTGTGGGGCATGCTATAAGTGTATGAGTGTGTACATGTATATGTTTCTGAGTTTGTGAATGTATTCATGTGTTTGTGTATGCACGTTTGTGTTTCTGTGCATGCATGTGTGTATGAACATATTTGTATGTAGCTGCATGTTTGTATACATACATATTTTATACATCTGTGCATGCAGGCTCATGTGTGAGTGTTCAGATGCAGACCTTTGTATGTGTAGGCATACATGCATATGTGACTACACACACGTTTATTCATCTATGTGTGTATTTGATTGTGTGTTGATGTACATTTGAAATGATGTGTTTGTGAAATGTGTTTGTATGTCAGTGCATGTGTATGCGTGTAGATGCCCCTGCTTATGGAACTGAGCTTATATATATGTGCATGTATGTATACACAAGTATCTGTGTCTGTGTATATATGCAAATGTATGGGAGTGTGCATATGCATGTGTTTGTGTGTCTGTACACTTGCAGGCATTTGCATGTGTGCATGTCTGCATGCATGCACATGTATATATGAATATTTTGCATGTGCCTCTATGCACATGCATGTGTATTGGGGCATGTATACATACGCAAACGTATATGCACATGTGCTTTGTGTCTTGCATATACACGTGCATGTATGAGCAGATCCACTTATCTGTGCATGTGTATGCACACACCGCTGTGTTACTGCACGTGTACCTATTTGTGCTCATGCATGTATGCATCTAACTGCACATATATGGACATTTATGTGAGCTCATACATTTACATGTATAATGAGTGTGTGTGTGTGTGTATGTCTGTACACGCACATATTTGCACGCAGCACTAGGAGCTGCAGCTATAGAGGCAGATGAGAGGCAGATGGCAAATGCTGAACTGCTACCCAGCTGCTCCAGGGGAATGGCAGGTTTGGCCCCCCCAGGAGAGGGATAGCTGGTGGGGGGTCCTCTCCCCTCCCTCTCCCCTCCCTCTCCCCTTCAGTTTGCCTCAAGGCTTCATAACTGTCTCCAGTGTTCCTCTCTGTTCTCAGGCCACTGGAGTGGGGCAGCTTCCTGGGGGAGGTGATAGGCTTGGGGCTACCTTGGTAGGGGGGCACCTTGGATGTGGGACCCGTGGTGTTGTGAGGGAGGAAGTGTCCCAGGTAGAGGGTGAAGCTGCTGGGATTTACAGGGATGAATGTGAGAATAGAGCTGTTTGGTCCTGTGGGGTGAGGGGGTCCTTAGTGGGTGGGGTGAGGGCTGCCCCTACCTGAACCGGGCTGGTCTCCCTGAGGGCTTACGTGGTCCTGTTTGAACCTTCCAGCCACCGGAGGAGCCATTTGAGGGGGAGGAAGTGGCTACAGCTGAGCCAGGCCCTCAGGGTAAGTGCTGGAAGCCCAAGCTGGCAGGGCCAGCAGCAGGGAGGAGTATGTTCTCTCTCAGAGCTTTGCAGAGTTCATAGGCCGGCAGGCCCATTTCACAGATGAAGAAACTGAGGCTCAGAGAAGTTGAGGATCGGGCTCCTGGGGACTTTTTAGCTGAGCTGAGCTGGAACCCTGGCCTTCTGACTCCCTTGGGGTTCTCCTCTTTCCCCTACCTCTGACTTGACCTCCCTCACAGGGTAGACCTCCCTAGGTACTCTGAGGCTCCAGATCTAAGTATGGGGAATTCTTTTCCAGAAACCCAGGAGGCTGCCCCTACTCCACCCACATCCCTCCAAGCCCAGGTTGCTGTGGTTCCCGAAGTGAACAGGTACCACACCACCCTTCCCTCTCCTCGGGGCCAGCCCCCCCCCCCCCCCCCCCAAAAAAAAAAACCAGGGAGCCACTTGGGGGTGGGGACCAGCACTGTCTCAGGTCTCCACTCATTCGCTGGCAACTGCCCAGAACATCTTGGGAACTGGCTGAAGGGATCCTCAGGCAGAGGCAAGGATCTCCTGGGCCAAATGGGCAATGTGACCAAGAGAAACAGAGAATAGGGGCTGGAGCATTCTCAGTGCTTGGGAGAAATGCAGATCCAGTGTGGCCAGGGCTTCTGATTTTCCCAATGAAGCCAGAAATCCAGACTTTCATGTAAAATCTCCAAGTTGGCTCATTTTAGACCATCAGTGCTTATCCAAGTGAGCATATCTTTTGGGGGGTGGGGGGAGCAGCTAGCCTCAGGCAGTGAGTCTGTGACCCTCATATTTAGGCTGCCCAGTCTCAGCCACAAGGAAAACGCCCCACAGGAAATCCTCAACCCTTCTGACCCTTCTGGAGCACATGACGTATGCCTAGTGTAGGATGGGACCCCCTGGAGCCAGACTAAGCAGGAAGCAGGATACTAGAACTTGGCTGCTTTGGACCAAGTATCTGATGGGAGTGGGCTCAGGATGGTACTGTGCATACCTGCCTTGCCAAGGTTTGGTGTCTGCCATTTTCCAGAGTTGGATGCAAGCCTTGGGGGAAGGTGACATATCTGAAGCCTCACAGTGGGGAGATAGACATTTGGGATTCAACCCAAGTTCTTTAGGACACCAGACAGTGCCACTCGGATTAGGGAGGGGCCGGGGACCTGAGGGCAAACTCGGATCTTTGTCCCTCAGCACTCCCAGTGGCTGGGTGCTGACCTGGCTCAAGAGAGGCATGGAGAAAGTTGTCCCACAGCCGGTCCTCAGCAGCGGGCCAGCCCAGACCACTGCTGCTGGCTTGGAAGGCCCCACCCAGGTACTTGTTGGGGTGGGAGCTGAGGTGGTTTTGGTGGGGAAGGGCAGGGTGGGAGGCCATTGGGTCTGGGCTCTCTGCCCTCACGTGTCTGTCTGTCCTGGCAGGCAGGAGCACAGATCCCTGGGCAATGCAGCAATGGGAGCTCAGGTAAGGCCAGGAGGCAGGATGGCTTTTTTGGGGGTGGGACTAGCGGAGCTCGGGCTGGATCTTGCCCCTGTGGAGAGCTCACAGGCTGGGAACTCTCATCTGCCTGGCTCTGGATTCCAACCCTGGTTTGAGTGAGCCTGACCAGGAGACGGGGTCTGGGCAGGTCTCTTGCTGCTGACCACCTTCCTTTCTTCTGCAGATGGACTCGATGTGGCCCCTGGGACCCAGGACACTGGGTAAGTCCCCATCCCTGAGCAATGGTTTGGCCCCTGAACCTCATCTATAGTGTGTGTGGTTGGGGGAGCCGTGTGCCCAGACCTGAGGACCTTGTGTTCAGGACCACATCACCTCAGTGTGTGACCTTGAACTTGCCTCTCATCTCTTCCAGACCTCACTTTTCTCATTCTTAAAATGGAGCCAAAGGGCCCTGTGCTTCCCATGGTTTTTTGTGCTGATTTCTGGGAGATGCTCTGGTGGGAGGCCATGGGGAGAAGTCATGGATGAGTTCCTCATAGATGGGCTCGTGTATGTGGGCATTGTATGGAGCCCAGGGGCAGGGCTGGGACCACTGTGGGGGACATAGGGGTACCTAGGTTGGCCTCACAGTCGGCAATAGCTTTGTACTTCTCAGACTTGACCAAGGTGGGTGGCTGTCTTGTTATTAAGGATGGGTGAGGAGGCAAACAGGGGAGGCCATGTCCTTCTCTAAGAGGGCCCCGGTCAGCTCCCATTGCCTCTGTCTGGCAGGAGTGCAGGCCCAGTGTGACCAGATTCTCCAGTTTTTTAGGAGAAGCTAGAAATTTAGGGTTTTATGGAATACTTAAATTTTAGATGTTGCCAACTAACTGAAAAGTTTTCAGAATACTATGGGCCCCTCGGATAAGCCTGGAACCTCCAGTTTGCAATCTCTGCTGGGGACCCGGAGTCATGTATTCACCTTCATTCACCCCATTCGTTCATTCCTTCCCTTGTTCATTTGTTAGACTGCTTGCTTCTTGAGTGCAGGGACTTTTGTCTGGTCACTGCTGAACCCTGGTGCCTGGCACAGGGCCTGCCATAAGGAGGGGACTCAGCATGGAGGGGATGAATGAATGAATGTATGTGATTGCACTCATTCATTCATTCATTCATTGTTCCAGTCACTGTGGTCTATTTCTTTTTGTCCCCTGGAGGCTGCCCAGATCAGGGGTCCCCAGGGGCCACTCGGCTGACTCATGAGACCAGTAAAGCAATTTAGGATGAAGTCCCCCAGAGGACTTGCCAGCTTTCTTTTGGGGCCATACCTGAGGGGATGGGATCCCCTGGGAACGTGGGTTCCCCCTGAAGAGGGAGGGGCTGCCTGGAGGCCAGATGGATCTGGGACCCATTTGCCCCAGGGCTAGCTATATAATTTGCGGGGCCCAATGCAAAATGAAAATGCAGGACTCCTTTAAAAAAATCACTAAGAGTTTAAGATTGTGACAACCGCATGAATATCAAAAGTGGGCCCTTATAAGTATGGGGCCCTGTGTGACTGCACTGCTCACAGACCCATGAAGCCAGACCTATCTGTCCCAGGCACAGGGAGTCCCCCATGCTGCGTTCGGGTCCCCAGGCAGCTGCTGTTTCTCACCTGGGGCCCAGGTGGCCAAGGCTGGGCCTGCTGTTCCAGGCCTGGTGCAGCCATGGGTCAGAATTTGGGGCTGGCAGAAGTTGCTCCACTACCTGAGACCCTTCTAGAGTGTACAATACAAGGTCCCCACTGTGCAGAATGGGACCAGAGGTGAGGAAGGACTGGTTGAAGCCTGGGATTCCAACAGACATTCAGGTCAGGGTGATTAGGTTGCTCCACTGATCCCTGTCCCTTTTGCAGGCCTGGGCCCTGGCTGCTCAGGTGGCTTGAGCAGAATCTGGAGAAAGTGCTGCCTCAGCCCCCCCAGAGCTCCAAGGTAAGTGGAGGAAAAAGGGGGAGTAGGCAGATGACCACCTGGGAGGGTTTCTGGGTCCCAGAAAGGATGTGTGTAGTCCAGCAGGCTATCCCCAACCCCTGGGACACGTAGAGGGAGTGCTGTCCTCCCTGGAGGGTTCTCCTTGATGGAGAGGAGTGACTGCAAAACAGCAAGCAGATTCGTGGGGAAGGAGGGGGCCCCCTGCTGCCTGCCCTGGGCACACTGGCTGGGGAGGGAGTGCACAGGGCTCACTTTGCTCTGTGACCTCACTCCTTGTCTCTGATCTAGGACTGGGGAGATGAGCCTGCAGATGCTGCCTTGGGCCCAGGTACAGGGAGGGGACTGGGGAGGGCTGGACTGGGGGTGCCACTGGGGCCTGAGGGATCCTGGGGGAGGACCTTAGCCCTCACCAAGGCCAGGGAGGGATTCAGGGCTTGTGGGGGCTGGGCTGTTGTGGTGGGCCTTGGAACCCCTCCCCAGTGCAGGCTGGGAAGCCAGTGGTGTGGGACCGTCCTGTGAGGTCTTGACAAGCCCCTTGAGCTTCCTGGGCCTCAGTGCCCTGTCTAATGAGAGGCATAGTTGGAGTGGTTCCAAAGGGCTCCTTACTCAGTCCTGTTGGTGCCTGGGATCTGGTCCCCTGTGCCCATGAGGGATTGCATGGAGCCCTGCTTTGTCATCTTTAGACTCCTGCTCTGCCTGCTGCTTAGAGCCCCCAGGACCCCCTTTGGAAAGGGAGCCCATGCTGCAGGCCCCGGAGAGCCCCAACATGCCCACTGCTGGCCCCCTGGAGCCCAAGGAAGAGCCAACTTCAGAGCCCCAGGCCACCTTCCATGCTTCCTCCTTGCCGCCTGCTGGGGACCCTGCCAGGTGAGCCCCCCAAATGTCATGCCTTCCATGGGGAGCAGGATCAGTGCTTTGCCCCAGCCCAACATCCAACACTTCACTGAACATTGTTTGTTTGGTTTTTGTTTTGATAGAGAGAGAGAGAGAGAGAGAGAGAGAGAAAGAGAGTGTGAGCAGGGGAGAGGGGCAGAGGGGGGGAGAGAGAGAGAGAGAGAGGATTTTTTTTAATGTTTATTTATTTTTGAGAGAGAGACGGAGCATGAATGGGGGAAGAGCAGAGAGAGAGGGAGACACAGAATCCGAAGCAGGCTCCAGGATCTGAGCTGTCAGCACAGAGCCTGATGCGGGGCTCAAACCCATGAACCGTGAGATCATGACCTGAGCCAAAGTCGGACGCTTAACCAACTGAGCCACCCAGGAGCCCCAAGAGAGACAGGATCTTAAGCAGTCTCCATGCTCAGCACAGAGCCCAACACAGAGCTTGATCCCATGACCTGAGCTGAAATCAGGAGTCTGATGCTCAACCGACTGAGCCACCCAGGTGCCCCCAGACTAGTTTTTTAAATTTTCAAAGTCACCCATGCACTAGGGAGAAAATTTAAAGGGGTTTCTGGGGTCTCTTCCCATCAACAGCTCTCTGCCATTCAACACATTTTCTACCCACAAACAAGCTGGGAGGACATTTCTCCTTCAAACGAACACACGGACCAGACAACAGCAAAGTGCGTACCCTGTTCTGCATTTTGCTTTCTTCACCAAAAAGTGCATCTTAGGGGCACCTGGGTGGCTCAGTTGGTTAAGTGGTTCAGGTCGTGATCTCAACGTCTGTGGGTTTGAGCCCTGAGTCAGGCCCTGTGCTGACAGCTCAGAGCCTGGAGCCTGCTTCGGATACTGTGTCTCCTTCTCTCTCTGCCCCTCCCCTGCTTGAGTCTCTCTGCCTCTCTCTCTCTCTCTCTCTCTCTCTCTCTCTCTCTCTGTCTCTCTCGTAAAAATAAATAAACATTAAAAAGTTAAAGACAAAAAACACATAAAAAGTATCTTAGAGGTGGTTTTATCTGGATTGGTCTGCTTCACTCTTTCAACTGTTTCGGAGTACTCTATTATAGGGTGGTACCAGCTTTTTTTTTTTTTTCAACGTTTATTTATTTTTGGGACAGAGAGAGACAGAGCATGAACGGGGGAGGAGCAGAGAGAGAGGGAGACACAGAATCGGAAACAGGCTCCAGGCTCTGAGCCATCAGCCCAGAGCCTGATGCGGGGCTCGAACTCACTGACCGAGAGATCGTGACCTGGCTGAAGTCGGACGCTTAACCGACTGCGCCACCCAGGCGCCCCTGGTGGTACCAGTACCAGCTTTTACATAGCTTGTTTCTACTCTTTCACTGCAATCAGTGGCTTGTACAAGCATCATTTCACTCACATGCAAATAAATCTGTAGGGCAAATCTGAGAACCTGGCATCGCTGAGCCAAAGGATGCATGCATTTAAAATCGGGATATGTGTTGCCAAATGCTCCTGCCCTGGCAGTGTGTGAGACACCTGCATGCACTTCCGGGGTGGGGGTGGCAGAGTGGGTGCTGAGCTACCTGCTGGGGTCTGAGCGGTACCCAGAGGGAGGAGGGCAACAGTCTTTGGGGCTAGAGACCTGGTTCTGGTCTGCCTTCTGGTAGGCTTGCTGTCTGCCTTGGGAGGGACCTGACTCTGGTCTCAGTTTCCCCGTGAGCCCCACCACTTAGACATGGCCTGCTTTCTCCCATTTGCAGGTTAATGGCTTGGCTCCGGCACAGGCTGGAGATGGCCCTGCCACAACCCGTGCTCCATGGGAAGGCTGGTGAGCAGGTCTGTGCAGGGCTGGGGGCGGGGCCCTAGGGAGTGGTGGGAGGGGCCTTGCTGAGGCAAAGACTGATGGGCTGGGGGCGGAGCTCAGGCAAGGATCTATCGTTTGAGGGCGGGGCACCGAAGGCACTGAAGGCACCTAAGGAAGAAGGGAGGCTGCAGGGAGGGCCCGGGGAAACAGCCTGTCTATCTAGTCAGCTCACGTTTATTCCACACACTTTCCCTGAGGGGCTGCGGCCACGGGGCTGAGAAGTGCTGGCCCAGCGTGCTAACCAGGAGGCCATAATCAGTGGGGGAGATGCTTCCATGGAGGGAGCAGAGAGGATGTGGGGTACAGAGGAGGACCCCCACCACTGCCCCCCAGCATGAAGGAAGGCTTTCTGGTGGAGGTGGTTTGCAAGCTGAAACCTAGGGAGAGGTAGCATGGGGGTGGTGTAGGAAGAGCCCTTCGGGCAGAGGATCAGCAGGTGCAAAGGACCAGAGACAAGAGAGGCCAGGAATGTCCTGGAAAGAAGTGGGGCTTGGGGCTTATAGGAAGCCAGAGAGCCCTGTGTGCATTTCTGAGAACCTAGGACTCTAACATGGATGGGTGGAGGGAGCAAGTCCTCTGTCACCTCTTCTTCCCCCTCTCCAAGAACCTGGCACCTGGTCCTTCTCTCTTGGGGACAACTGTGTATCTTTTTTTAAGCTTTATTTGTTGACTGGTTTTTTGTTTTTTTTAAATGTTTATTTATCTATTTTGAGAGAGAGAGAGAGAGAGAGAGCGAGCATGTGTGGGAGGGGTAGAGGGAGAGGGAGAGAGAAAATCCCAAGCAGGTTCCATGATGTCAGCACAGAGCCCAACATGGGGCTCCATTCCATGAACCGTAAGATCATGACCTGAGCAGAGATCAAGAGTCAGATGGCTTAACCGGTTGAGCCACCTGACAATTGTCACCTGGAACTGGGAGGCGAGAGGCCTGGTCCCAGTCCTGACTTCGGTAGGAGGTGGGCAGAAATCCTCAGGGCCCCCTTCCCTGCAGGCCGAGCCTGCAGGCTCTGTGTCCACGTGGCCTCTGTGGGTGGCTGAGGAAACACAGCTTTGGAGTTTTCCAAGAGGATGAAAAGGGCCTGGTGGCAGGAACATTCTGTGGTGAAGATGCCCCCACAGAAAGGAGGGGCCCCCTCGAGTACGGGGCTGGGGCAGGGGAAGATGTGGTGCTTTGGGGAGAGGCCTCTCCTGCAGACGCAGCTTTGACACAACCCTCCGGGGAGGGCTGGGAGGAGGTTTTCCCTGCATGGAGAGTGGAGAGTGGAAGGTAGGCCGCTCAGGCAGGGGGCCCAGCCTGGGCAAAGGAGCTGAGGTGGGACCAAGTGGTGACCCAGGGAGGACAGTGCCTGGAGCACTGGGCGAGCTCTGAGAAAGGAGGGGGGGAAGCAGACCAGAGAGGAGCCGGGAGCCACGGGACCTTCTGCGGGAGTCCTGATAGGGGTGAGGAAAGCCCTCTTGCCCCTGTGTGTGCTGGGAGGGGTGGTGGAAGCAGGGAGGCCGGTGAGGAGGACACGGCATTTTTCTCCCCATGCAGGAACCTGATTCCCCTGTGGCGTGTGACGTGCAGACCGGTAAGTGACACCTTAGTGGGTCCTCGTGTCGTGTCTCCGGGAGGGTTGCTTGGTCTGAGTGCACAGTGGGGTGGTTGCTGGCCAGGCCTGAACTTACTTGGGGGCTACGTTTGGGGCCTCCTGACCTGGAGCTGAGAGAGCCCATGTCCTGCAGGCCTCATCTCAGGTCAGCCCGGCCAGGTAGCCAGAGCCTGGCCCAGGGCCGCATGGTGGCTGGGGAGAGACGTGGTGGGGACCTGGCTTGCCTTCCAGTTTCTACCCAGAGAAAACAGTTGTGAGGCTGAGTCGGATGGATCCCCTTCCTCTGGGAACACCTAAAGAGAGCTCCCCACTTCCCCCTGGGCCAGTGGGTTTGGCTAGGCAGAGTCCCGGTCGAGGGATGAGGGGAGAGGCATGGGGTCTCCCTGGAGGAACTAGATCCCATAAACTCCAGCTCCAGTGAGGCAGGAGGGTTCCCCTTACCTATGGGTGGGGAGGGTGGAGAGGTGTGTGCTGCCTTTTATCCCAGCCCTGCACTAGTACTGAGGGATCGACTGAGGCTAGGAGGAGAAGGCCAGGGTCCAAAATCTGTTCTTCCTCCATTTCATGGCCTCGGGACAAGCGTGTGGTGTACAGGGCATTCATTCATTCATTCATTCATTCATTCATTCATAAAGGTCATGGAAGGCCTGCTATGTACCAGGCCTGTGATAAGTTCTAGAGGTGAGCAAAGCAGAGTTGAGGGCCAGTGGGTGGTGGCCCTATTCCACCCTGGACACAGGCCCTCAGACCATGGTGGGGTCCCTAGGACCCATGTCCTAGGCTAGAAAACCCTAACTCTGCCAGGCTGATGGTGGTCTTTATGAGCACCCTGAGGGTGAGGATGGCCACCATAGCCCGGAGCACGGACAGACCAGTTGACCATGCAGCGGAGTCTGGCAGAGTCTGGCAGAGTGGCCATGGGAGGAGATGGGATTTGTATAATGGTGACAACGTTGTAAGGGGTAGGCTTCAGAGCAGGGTTTGCTCAGCCTCGTGGAGTCTGTGCAGAGCAGGGACCCCCATGGCTGTTGGGGCTGACAGAGGTACAGGGATTTGCCCAAGGTCACAGAGCAAGTTGTCACAGAGCGGCAACTAGCATCCGCTGGGCCTGGCAGCAGTTGTCAAGGTTAAAGGAACAGAAAATTCCGGGAGCACAGCTTCCAGAGTGGAGAGCTCTGAAGACGGAGCCCCTGGCCCTGTCTCCTCCTCCTCTCTGCTCCTCTGGAGGAGGCAGGGTGCTCAGCTGGCTGTGGACAGGACCTCCCCGTGAACCCGGAGTGTGTGGCTTGTGGGTGGGCACTGAGACAGCGGGGCCAGGAGCCCAGTGTGTTAGCTCCCCCGGTTCTGACAGAACAAAGGACCACAAACTGGGTGCCTTTGAACAGCAGAAATGTGTTCTCTCACAGTTCAGGGTCCAGAAGCCCCAGCTTGAAGTGCTGGGGGGTCGGCTCCTCCTGGTGCTCTAGGGAGAAACCATCCCATATCTCTCTCCTGGCTTCTGGTGGCTGCTGGCAGTCCTCCGGGTCCCTTGGCTGCTAGCTGGCCTCCAATCTCTGCCTTTTCCTCCGTGTCTGTCAGATCTTCTCTCCTTCCTCTTATAAAGACACCAGTCATGGATTTAAGGCCCGCCCTAAATCCACGATGAGCTCATCTTGAGATCCTTAACTAATGACATCTGCAAAGATCCTATTTCCAAATGAGGTCACATTCACAGGTTGTAGGGATCAGGACTGAATATATGTTTCGGAGGGACACGATTCAACCCAGTCTGTGGGGTGACCCTAAGGGGCTGGGGCAGGAGTTCCCTCTCCTGCTGCCAGCTCTACCCCCTGCCTCCCTGCCCTTTCATTCATTCATTCACGCACCTGCTCATTCATTCCCTCCGCCTGCCCACCCAGCCACCCACCCTTCTGTCTTGTTTCAGGCGTGGCGGCAGCGGGGGGCCTCTGAAACAAGAGAGAAGGGATCCTGGGAGAGCACAGATGGACAAACGGACGGATGGATGGAAGGAGACAAGGGTGCCCTGAAGACCTGCAGGGGAGGGGGAAGAGGTGGCTGTTGACCCCATGCCCTCCTTGAACAGTGACCCCCCTGCCGCTCCCCACACTCCCAGGCTAGGTGAAGGGAGCCAGTCCCACAGCTCCTTCTCTGAGACCAAAGCTGGCGCCTTTCCATGGAACCGGAAGACTGTGGGGAAGCCCATGGAGGACTCTCTTTGAGAGGTCGCCTGCACAGCCCTCAGCGTGGTGCCTGGCACACAGGCGGTGCCCCAGTGGGACACAGTTTCTCCCAGAAGAGGATCCTCTTAGGCTAGGCTGTGTTCTCTCCCTCGAAGAGTTTGGGGTCCAGCAGTGGACAACGGCACATGACTTCGGTGACATTAAAAAGCATAAATTAGCACATCAAAGCTGTGATTGCATGATATATTTGCTTCAGATGAAGCTAAAATGAGTACTTAGGTTTGAAAAGTGGTTGAGTTAATGTGGCCCATGGTACTGGGGTAGCAGGAAGGAGGAGTTTGCCAGGGATCCTGATCCCCAGCTGGCCCACAGATGTCTGTGTTTGGGGCAAGGAGTGATTTTAAATATTAGAATTAGTTGCCAACATCTAAAAACAAGGTGGCTTTGCATTGGATGAGTCTGGCTTCTCTATAGCAATTATAATAGACCCATGCTGTGCTTCTGAGGACACTCCTGAGGGCAGGCAGCACATGCCCCCCCTTCACCTATAACACCATCTCCCTGGCTACCTAAGCCTTTGACTTTGAGACCCTTCAGGTCCCCAGTTGGCAGTGAGGGGAGGACAACCCAGGAGAGGGAATAAAGTGAGCAAATGGCTGGAGGTGGGAGAGGGAGAGTGTTGGGTACCTCAGCAAATCCCGAGTTTTTGATGCAGAAGTTAAAGCCAGAAAAACTGGGGCCTGGGATGCCTGGATGGCTCAGTCGGTTAAGCATCCAACTCTTGGTTTCAGCTCAGGTCATGCTCTCATGGTTTGTGAGATTGAGCCCCAAGTCAGGCTCTGTGCTGACAGCTCAGAGCCTGCTTGGGATTCTGTCTTTCTCTCTCTGTCTCTCTCTCTCTCTGCTCCTCCCCCATATACATGTGCTCTCTCTCTCAAAATAAATAAATATTGGGAAAAAAAAGGGTAGGGCCTGATCTTACAGGACTAGGCTATAGACAATGGGGAACCACTGAAGGTGGTTGAGCAGGGGAATGACTTCACAAAGACTACCCTGAGGCTGAGCAAGCATTGGAGGCAGAGAAAGCAATGGAATCAGGGTTCTTGAGCTTTGGGCCACATCCAAAGCATCTAGGACCCAGGCATGCCAGGGAGGATAAGCCAGAACTTGGGCTTTGCCGGCAACCCAGGGTCTGGTGCGGGCCTTGACCTAGAATTTATGCCTCCCGCCTCCCTGTTTGCTGATCTTGGAAATAGGAGCTCCTTCCTCAGATGCAATTGATGACCTTCACTCCTGGAGCCAGAACCCCATTCAGTTGCCCTGAGGGACATCCTAGGCTGGCAGAGAATGCTGGCCAGGAGGTGGCGGGACAATGAGGGACTCCAGGAGCAAAGTTTCAGCCCCAGATGGAGCAGGAGTTTCCGTATGAGCTTGAACACCCACAGTGCTTCAGTGGCCCCATCTGGACCCAGGGGCAGGGCCCTGAAAAAGCTAGGGAGCTCTGACTCCGATGCCTAACGAGAGGGTCTCAGGGCTCCACCAGGCCTGCAGGGAGCTCTGCCACTGGATCTGTGTGGCCGAGTACCCCGTGCCTGCCCTTCCCCTCTGGTACCCTGGCCACCAGCCTCTTCTCAGAGCCGTAGAATCTCTGGCTGTAAAATGGGGATTGTATAGGGCATGGCTCAGCGGCCTGGCCCAGAAATGAAAGGAGGAAAAGCTTGTAAAATGCTTCCTCACTAAACAGTATCTAAAAAGAAAGCGAGGATGTAAACAAAGACGGCATCAACTCTTGAGGACACCAAAGGCTGGGGTCATGCAGTGCCCAGCACGGAGAGGCCACCCATGCCAGGAGGCACTCAGGGGCATGTTTCTCACCTGGGGTAGCACACCAGGGAATCGGGAGTCAGGAGACCTGGCAATGCCTCTGACATCCTTTGTGGCATTGGGCAAGTCATTAGCCTCTCTGAGCTGGCTCTGTGCTTTATAAAATGGCGAGAGTACTATTGCCACCATGCTGTCACCATGCAGGGTTGCTGTGAAAGCTAATGAACTCACGAGCCAGGGGATGTTTGTTCTGTCTCCCGTATGCCATTTAGGGACTTGTACCCCAAGTGGCTGCTCAGGGCAGAGATGCTACACTGTTACTGGATGGCAGTCTAGAATGACACGTGTGACATGTCCCACCACTGGATTCGGGGCCACGCTTGGATGAGCCTCCCCGGTCAAACCCCAGGGGTGTTTGTAGGGCTGGAGGGGCCAGGACCCGCGTGGAAAAGCCTAGTTCAGGATGCGTGTAGGGGATTTCCCTGGAGGGCAGGCGGGTGCCTCTGTGTGAGGCAGGATAATGTCTATACCTGGGAACCAGGAGGCAGGAGCAGGGGAAGACAGCTCTTGGAAAGCGGACATCCCTGTGCCTGGCACATGGGACACACCTTGTAACAGAAGCTGTGAGCCTGTGTCTCAATTTACTCATCTGTAAATGAGGAAACAACATGAAAGAAGGAAAATAAAATGGGGGGGGGGTAACAATTATTCCCACCTCAAAAGGTTGGTTTGAGGACTAATTGAGTTAATCCATGTATGTCATTAAGCACAGGGCTAGGAACATATAAGTGCTCGATAAATGTAGCTGCCATTATATTATTATTATTTTTTCTACACCATGAGCAATACTTTCCAAAGTCACAGGATAAGACTTCAGACCAACTCCCATTTAAAGTCACTATTCATAATTTCATGCTTGGCTTAAGGATCACCAAGATCCTGGAGCTTTTTGGGAACACCCGATATCTAGACAATCTCCTCTCTTCTCCCCTTCCTCTTGACTTCGGGGGACTTAGGTCCCTGATGGGAGTCCCCTGCACCCACTTCCGCCGAGCTCACAGCCCCACACTGTTTGCACTGTCAGGGACCTGAGTACGTGGAGAAATGGTGAAAATGACAGATCCTATCTGAAGGTGGGACCATCTCTGCCAGAAGGTCAATCCCCGCAGAAGCTGGAGCCTCTAGGCCCAGGAGGGAAGGACTGCTAGAAATGGGTGCTGAGGTTATGAGCATTTGTATGCTGTCACCAGTGGGCGGCATCTAGAGAACATGCAGGAGGCAAGCTCTCTCTGTGTTCCTCTGGACATGTCGGGTCACCTTGCACCTGGATGTGCCAAGGCAGACCCCAAGCTTGGATCTTCCGTATCTCCTATGATGCTGTGGTTAGAAGCGTTATTTCTGCTTCTGCACAAACCTCCAAGAACGGGGGCCCTAAGGAGACACAAAAGCTAACTGTAATTGAAGCTCTATCTCAAAAGGAAAAAAGGGGGGAAATGACCAGAAGGAAACAGGGTGAACGATCATGGGCTTCAGCCTGTCACTTTAGCACTGATCTGGCTGCTAATGGTCCTGTGGATAATGGTGCTGTTTCTGCTGCTTGGCTGAGAGCTGGCCCATGGCTGGTGATGGCCAAGGCCCCCTGTGTGGTCCCTGGGACTCAGAAGCCTAAGCCCACTCTCCCCTGTGCCCTGTGTCCCCTGCAGTCTGCATCCTCCCTGGAGGCCAAGAGGAGCCCGATCTCGTCCTAGAAGAGGTTGACCCTCACTGGGAGGAGGACGAGTATCAAGACCGGGGCACCAGTCTGCAGGGCTCAGAGGCAGCTCCAGCTTATGAAGAGGAGAATGAGGCCATGGAGGAGATGCCCAGGTGGGAACCAGAGAAGGCCCTGGAACAAATGATCGTTTGGAAAGATAACAGGCACATGGTACAGAATCCCAAAGGTATCAAAGGACATAGAACAGGAGCCAAACCTGCCTCTACTCCTTCCTCCTCCTCCGTCCCCCAGACATCCAGTCCTCTCCCTGTGAATAGAGACAGTAGCTGCCAGTTTCTTCTGTGCTGGTCCAGGGAGCATCTGAGCATTTACAGGCATGATTCCTTTTTTCTTTTTTTTTTTTTTTCCACACAAGATAGCATATCACACGCACCTACGTATCTGCAACTTGCTCTATTCATTCAACAATATACCTTGAGGTGTTTCCACCTTCAGTGCATAGAGATCATCCACAGATTGTTTTTTAACAACCGCATAGTATTCTATTGTGTGGATGTGCCAGGATTTATATACATTTGTGATTGCGAAATTTTGTTATTGTAAACAATTTTGCAACAAACACTCTTGCACATGCACGTGAATAGGCCTGCAGGATAAATTTGTAGAAGGGGGGTTGCAGGGTCATTGGGCATGGGAATGGGTACCTAGGGTAGTGATTACCCACTTGCCCTCCGTAGGGACATAATGATCTTTGTTCCCTCTAGCGATCTTGGTGATAACCCCTCAAGCTGTCAGGTCCTCAGGCCCATGACATACATCGTAAAGGTGGGGAAACTGAGGCCCAGAGAGGCTCAGAGGCTGACCCAGGGTTGCCACTAGGATGGTGGAGGCTGGGCCAGGCCCCTCATGCCGTGGAGAGGCCTTGCTGCTAGAGGGAGCCTGAGGTTGCTCAAGTGGGGTTCCCCAGGTCAAGTCTTGGTTGAGATTTTCGGGTCTGGTTTCAGGGGTCATGGGACCTGAGGTGGACTGGGGGTGGGGCTGCAAGTGGGCTCACCTCCTGCTTCTGACCTCAACTCAGGGAGCTGCCCCAGATTCAAGAGGAGAGAGAAGATGAGGAGGAAGATGGAGAGGAAGAGGAAGAAGAGGAGGAGGAGGAGCCTAAGTAAGGCACTTGTGTGTTCTCAGCCTCCCCACAAGGGATGGCCCAGGGAGGGGTTACAGTGTGGGACGGGGGGGCTTTCAGGGTGGGGGAGCTCCTTCCTTTGTTCTGTGCTGTGTGCTGCTGCGTACTGACCAGGGAGGCTGGGGAAGCTGGGGGTCCCCCCCAGCACTCATAATGACCCGAGACTCATATTGCCCACCCCTTAACACCCTCCCAGATGCTTATACACACACACACACACACACACACACACACACACACACACACACACCAGAACACAGCCTCCTCGGGGTGGGGGGGTTGTTGTGCTCACTCCCATGTCCCTAGATCCTACAACAGTGCCTGCTACAGCAGGCTCCAAATAAATGTCGGCTGAAGGCGTGGATGGTTGAGAGAATGGGCCCATGCGGGAGGCTCACAGCCCCTGTAATTAACCAAACCAAGGCATAGGGCTGTGTCCCCCTCCACACCGTCCATGACGGTCCCATGGGTGCCTTTGAAGGCTGTTCTGGATTCTGCTCTTCTGCCCATTAATGGTTGATTCTCCACCCACATCCATAAAGATTTCAACAGGAACACACAGAGAAGTCAGTTTAAAGAAAGGAGATCAGAAACCACTAACAGTTATAATCATCAAACTACATCTTAATTATTGAAACCACTGACAATCATTCTGTGACACGATAGAGGTGCTAATTAGCACAGTGGCAATCATATCATAATATATAAATTCATCAAACTGACATGCTGTATGCCTAAAGTTCACACAATGTTATATGTCAAACGTATTTCAATAATTAAAGACTGGGAGGAAGGTGTTCAGCAGTGCGGGACAGATGGGGAGGAGGGTGCGTGGGGAGATGAACAGCAAGCAGGCAGTTGGGCCTGAGCGTGGAGTCGGGGGTGAGAGGTTGGAGATGGAACGTCGGGAGTCTGGTCATGTGGACGGAACCAGAAACCGCGGGGCTGGAGGAGATGCTGGGAGAGCCAGTGTGGACAGAGGAGAGGCCCAAAGGCCAGAGCAGAGCCAGGAAGATTCGAGGAAACAGAAGTGCCTGGGGAGGAAGTGCCCGTGAGGAGGAGGGGGTACCAGTGAAGAGAGTGGGGGACAAGAAGAGTGTCCTGGGGGTTTTGAACAGGGGGGAGTGGTTTGCTGCCTCAAAAGCAGCCCGCATGTCGGGGGGACAGTGACACTGCAGCTGGTGGACATGGTGGGGAGATGATGCTTCAGAGGCTGGGGGCCAGATTGTGAAGACCTGGGACTTGCTTTCTCAGGAGCAATGGGGAGCCATTGAAGGTTGCTGAGCGGGGAAATCCAGACGTGATCTGGCAGCTGCACTGTGGGGAGACTGAGGCAGGGAGAGCCGTGAGGAGGCTGTCATCAGGGGGCAGGCCAGACTGATTGCATCTGTGCCTTGCATTATTCCCTGTCCCTGTTGCTCCGCTCTCTGTGGTGCCCCCTGGCCCACACCCTTCTTCGCTGACTTGTCCCTCCGGCCCTGGCCTGAGGCACGGGCTCTGCTTCTCCTGGCAGAGTGACCTGGGCAAGTGCACACTGCACAGAGCTTCTGCCTCCGCGTCTGTGGAACGGGGATTCTAACACCTCTGTGAAGCGGTCACGGGCCAGCTGTGTATGGGGCATATTAGGACCTTGGTCGCAGTGAGCGTGCCATCAAAGGTCATTGATGTTCTCATCCCCGCGGAGGGTTACTTTCAGTCCCAGTCGGGAAATAGTTATACCACGAGACAACACAGGACTTCAGGGCTGGAGGCCTGCTCCGTGTCATCTGCTTTTAGTCCACCTATCCCTTGTTCACATGGAATTTTTTCATCCTTGGCAGGAGACCACATGGCTACTTGTTTGTCTCTAGTGATGGGGAACTCATGACCTCTTGAAGGCTGTCCATTCCATCCATATACACCTCTGATTATGAGATGATTTCTTCCACCCAAAATAAACGTGCCTCCCTATGGTTTCTGTAATGTGGTCCACATTCTGCCCTCTGGGCCCCCCAGAGCCAGGCTGCTCTCACTGACCTGCGATAGCCTGTCTCCTGGGTGAAGACTTAGGTGCTGCCTAGCTTTGTTAGTGCTGGTTTGTTAGTGCTCATGGTGGTGAGTTGTCCCCCGACTAAACCTGTGTGCCCAACACGGAGGCCTGAAAACCCCTTTATATGCCACTGCTCCTGAACTGAAATACCCCCCGAACACCAGTGATTTAGTGTGCTCGCACACATGCACTAACTACATGCATATTCTCAGTGCACGGTACATGCAGGTACATGCACACGTATCTGCACATACACACCTACACGGACACAGACACACAGGCTGGGCTGGGCACACACTTATATGTGCGGGTATGCACACAGTCATACCCACACACAGCCTGCATACATGCACAAGCACATTCAGCACACTTGTTCACGTGTCCACATGCACAGGCACATTGGTACATGCTTGCACATAGGCACGCCGTGCCCTGTGTGCACGCTCATGCACACAAACACACGTGTACAGTTACCCACAAGTGCCGCACACACATACATATTCATACAGATGTTTACCCAGAGTTTCAAACTCAGGGGACTTTTGGGCTCTGGGGCCCTAGGCAGGGACGCGGGCACTGGGTGAGAGAGCTGAGTGTTCCCAGGGCCAGGACCAGAGGGTGTCAGGCGTGGGCAAGTGGACTGAGCTGTCACTGACTGGGGAAGGATGCTCTTGGCCAGCTTTGCAGAGGCACAGGGGTTACTGATGACGTGCACGCGGGCCCTGGTAACAGGCAGATGGTCGCCTAGCGACCTGGTCTCTGCCGGCAACAGCTCGGCTTTTCCTAGCAACCACAGCCTTTTGGTCCCCACCTGCCCTCCCTGGGGGCATTTCTGCAGAGTTCCCCACCGCCTGCACACTCCCTCAATCTGATTAGAAGCAGGAAGGATCAGTAGCTCATCTGCTACCCGAGCCACACTGGCTCCAGAGCTGGCCTGGCAGGCTCGGGGGCTGGACCGAGGCTCTCCAAATTGTCTACCTGTGGGCACCCGACCTGGGGCTTGGGATGAATACCATCGCCCCCAGCTGAACTCCTGCGTCATGGGCATTCTTATCAGCCAAGACAGCGAGACCCAAGTAGGTGGCTGCTTTGTCCTAAGGGCTCCCCTTCTTTCTTTCAGGGTGGGGGTGCCTGGTGAGGACCTTAGCTTAGGGGCACAGCCTGCTGGGGGACTTGGGGGAGGAGGAGCAGGATGGGCAACTCTTAGCTACTCCCTGCACTTTTAACTTGGATAGCTGGGTGGGGAGGTTCTCCGGGATACCCACCTCAGCGAGTCTGTGTGATCCTCCACTTGGAAATCTCTGGGATTTAGGAAGTTTCTAGAAGTTGATGGCCTGCTGCTTCTGGGATGGGCAAGAGGGGGCCTTGGGCACATCGCCGACCGGGAACAACATGGCTTTGGGTACATAGCTCCCAAACAACCTCTGGTAGTCCTGACAGGGCCACAGTAGGGCTCATTAGGTATCTTGATAGCTGGAGATGTTTGTACAAGATGCTCCCTAATCCACGTGGGTGATTCATAACCCTGCAGGACGCTCCCTTCTCTAGTGTTAGTAGCAGTCATGGCAAGAACAATCATGACAGCAGCTGCCATTTGAGTAACACTTGTTTGCTATGCCAGAGTCTGGGCACCTATTATTAATCCCATTTCACAGATGGGAGAACTGGGGCTCGCAGACAGTACCCTGTATGTCCAGGGGTGCACTGCCGGCAAGGGCAGAGTTGGTACCGAAACAAACACTTGGTGGCCCAAACGAAGGGAATTGCTCGTTGGTGTTGATAGATGGAGGACCAGGAACAACACCAGATATGGGAAGTCTTTTCTGACTTTCATGAGACTCTCACTGGCCCTCCTGACCTCGCTTAAATCTGTCAGGCCGTGCAGCCTGGGCAATTCCTCCCTATTTGACAGATAAGCAAACAGAGGCAGCCCAAGGGCTTCCCAGTGATGTGTTAAAGGCCCTACAGTGATTTCCTGGCCTGATTCTGGAATGAGCAAGACCTCACTGGACTGTGGTAGTTCATTTCCCGGGCCTCTGTGTTCCGAGAACTGGGAAGGGCATAGTTCCCACCATACTTTTAGAGACCTTCATTTTAATTTTTTAAAAAATCAGACACCAAAATGAACTTTTCAATGGAAGAGAATGTTTGAACATATGAATCTTCATATAAATGCAGTCACAGAATATAATTTTTATTTTATCTTTAAGGAGGAAGGAGCCCACAAAACCTTAAAGTGCCCAGACCCCATGAAAGTCATCATGTGCCTTGCTTTTGTGACTCAAATCTCTTTAAGAAAATCTGTTTCTTCCTGGGCAGAGTGGGGAGTATGATCCTGACAGTTGAGGCCCCTTTTGATGGAAAGAGCTATGTAATGAAGGGAAATGAAGTGAGTTGGGTGCTCAGATCTCAGGACCCTGGACTTATTCCTCCGTGTCACATGGAGCAGAGGCAGGCAACCAAGTATTACGGACATGGCCTTGAGGGTCAGAGACACTTGTGTTTTATCCAGGCTTGCCTTGTGCCAGCTGTGTGACCGTGGACAGGCCATCTGTCCTCTCTGTGCCTTTGATTGCTAAGCTAGGACCAGTCACAGCCCCGGCCTCTCAGTGTTGTTTGGGTGAGGTTGTGGGGAGCGACAGCCCTTGGGGGCTGCTGTGACAATGTGATTGCTGACTGATTCCTGCTGCAGTCTCCAAACCGACTGGGGCTGCAGTTCTGTCCCCACCTCCTCACCCACTTCAGGAGGCCTGAGGCTTGGCCCTCTGGGGAGAAGGTAGTGAATCCAGGTTTTCTGGATGCCAGAGAGAACACCCTCTGTGAGCCCTCGCTGACAGAGGTTGGGTAGGGTGGGCCACTAGGAACCAGGATCCAATTCTAACTACAAAAGTCACATCGGCTCCTGGTTCTGAGTCACCATTTTAACCCAGAGGCTGCACACAGGCATCTAAGGGTCCAGTTTCGCTTGTAGACAAGCTCTTTTATCTATATATTGCTATGAATATATTAATTTGGATTAATTATCAGCACTTGAAGATTGGAGATTCTCCCTTTAAAACATGTAGTTCAGGCTCCTCTTGAAAATCAGAAGATTTTTCTAAGCCAAGTGGGGTTGCTGACTCAGATGAGCACAGATTCTCTAACCATAGCCCTCTCTGCATCCCTGGCCCCTGTCACCCATGTACACCTGGAGCCTGGGCCAGGGACCCCTGAAACCTTCAGCAGCGGTAGTGTGGCTCTGATCTCATGGCATGGAAAGAACCAGGGCCCGCATTTGAGGTTTGTGTGGTATAAGACAATCTGCAGTGTGATTTTGGCCGGGTCACATTACCTCTCTGGGCCTCACTTTTCTCATACTCCCTGCCCTGCCTGCGTCACCAAAGTTTTCTGGAGACTCACAGAGGGGAAATGCCTTTGTGCCTTTTGGTCACACCCACCCAGAGGACAGTTTCTCAAACCATCCACCCCGCTTTTCCTTGTACGTGCTATTCCCCCTTCCTGGACCCCCTTCCCTATTCCTCATGGTCAACTCATCATCCCTGAGGTCCAGCTCAGAGGCTACCTCCTCCAGGCAGGCCTCCTTCCTAGGCAGAACTGTGTTCAGCCTGTCCCGTGTGGGGAGCCTCATGAGGGTGAGGACCTATTCTTGGACATCTTTGTGTACCAGCTCCCAACACAGGGCCTGGCTCTCAGCAGGGCTCAGGAAATGTCTAACACTCCTAACGCTAGCCCTTTCCTCCCCCTCGGTCGCAGTGTCCTGCTGGATAGCTGTCTGGTGGCACAGGCTGGCGAGCACCCGAGCGGAGTAGGCAGGACCCAGCCCCAGGAGGCCGCCCACCAGGTATGGAGCCACACCAGGCCGGGTACTACCCAACTACCTCTGAAGCCTGGGTGGGCATCAGCAGAAGGGGCTGGGGCTTTGTCTACTTTGTTTACAGGCAGAGTTTCAGCTGGCGAGGTGCCCGCTGGACCGGGGAGCAGGGTGGTGGGTACGGAAGGCCTTGCTTATGCCGGAGGTCAGTGGTATCAGGAAGGGCCTGGGGTGACAGGCCCGTGGGTGGGGAGCAGCTGGACCTGGACACCGAAGTCCTCACATGGTTGTGTGACCCTGGACAAGTCACCTCCCCACTCTGGGACTCAATGGCCACCTTTGTAAAATGGGGTTAACATCCCCTCCCCGGGGTGTCGCACACAGTTGTATACTGTGGAGTGCAGCACCCAGGTGGGGAGTGCTGTTGGTGGCTGCTTTAGTTGTTTGGGCCCCACCTGCACAGGGCTGCGTGAGAAGGCCCCCTGTTATAAGTCACCGATCCAGGTGTTGGGGCCCAGGGCTCCTGTATGCCCTACTCTCCACACAGTAGAGGCCACCTCCCGGGATGCCCCAGAAGGTGGGGTGGCAGGGCCTGATGGGTCAGGCCGGGCAAGGAGGGGAATCGGGGCCCATGAAGACTCTTGAATACAGATCTCCCAACAGGGTCTGGGAGGGCCGGGAGGAAGGTTGATGGTCACAGCTTCTGTTTCCACTTCCCTGTTTGCAGGAGCCACAGGAGGAGGCCGTGGCTGCCAGCCCAGAAGGTAGGTGTGTGGTGGGGGTGGGGCGCACAGAATGTTGAGGATACTTTCAGGCTGGGGACGGCCTGGCCAAGGGCACCCATCCCTTCTCCCTCCATCCCTACACCTGTCTCACCTCAGGCCGCATTAGCAGAATTTGGTGATATACTCCAAAGGCCCAAGGGCGTTGCCGGAGGCTCCCAGGACTCCCGGAGGCCTGCGGAAACCCCGCTCCTAGTCAAGCCCTCCTGCCACCCCTCGCTGGGAATGCAGCTCTCTGAACTGTCATCTAAAGAGGGTTTGGCAGCAACGGAGCATGTCTGAGTGGGAATCGGGACCCAGGCTTGCTAAGGGTCCATCCTAGACTCCATGTGTCTTGATGAGCTTTTCTTTCCTGCTAAGATTCCCAGGCTGTACCCAGCACTTTGCTATTATTTACCATCCCCACCCCCAAGCCCGAGAACTCCAGGGAGGGTGGGGCAGAGTGTAGAGGACCCGAGGATAGCCAGGCTGGGGAGCCTAGGGCAGACGGACATGCAGCCCTGGCCTCATAAAGCTCCGTGTTTCTTAAGCCAGCCTGTGAGGTAGACAGACCATTTTACAGATGAGAAAACTGAGGCTCCAAGTGCTCAGGACGTGGCTGAGGGACCACTCAGACCTGCGTTTCACTCTTGGCTCCTCCCTCTTCCTTGCTGTGTGACCCGGAGCCAGGTGTGTGACCTCTCTTAGTTGTGGCTCCAAATCAAGAAAGACAGGGCAATAATAGTACCCACCTCACAGGGCATTTGGGCAGAGTAGGGTGGACAGTGTGTCAAAGGTCCCCAACACCGTGGCTGGCACTGAAGCAGGTGGCCGTAACGGGGACCATGATGCTTGTGTCCCAGGCAGCCAGTGACTGACACGGGACTGGACGCAGGTGTCCCAAACTTGCTCCCCACCTGGTCTTTGAAAAACTTCTTCTATTAACTTCAACACATAATCCGTAGGAAACCTACTAAGTCTGCAGCCCACGTGGATGAATAAGACCAGGGTCACCCGGGTGCAGACTCAGGTTCTGTGGGGCTTGTTCCGCCCCCTCCCCCCGGTCATCTGGAAGCAGGTGGCCTGGGAACCACACTCTGAGAAACACTGAGGCATGGCCATCTGTCTGCCGCTACTCATAAATGTGGACCTGGAACCGGCAGCTTTGGAGTCACGAGGGAGCTGGTTAGAAATACAGAATCCCAGGCTTCACCCCAGACCTGCTGAACCAGAATCTGTGTTATAACAAGATCCCTGGTGGTTTGTTTGCACATCAGTGTTTGAGAGGCAATAGCCTTGAGCCCTGATTCTCAAACATGTCTGCACATCAAAATCATTTGGAGAGATTTTAAAAATCAGACATTTCCAAATGTCCCCAAGTGATTCCAATGTGAGGCCCAGGAGAAGTTCCTGCTTCTGGTTGGAAGTGAAATTCATTGAGCTCCAGAGTTTCTTTGGGATGGAAAATCCTACTGGGCCAAGAATGTTTGGCCAGTCCAGGAGGTCTGGATTCTTTGATTTTAACTTTTTCTGTCTGAGGTGGGAAACGCTACTGGTGGTTGGTTAACAGAGAGAGATAAGAAGTTGGGGGGGGGGGGGCGCTCGGCACTGTCCCTTAGAACTGTCACGTAGACCAGCCACATGACTTGATGATGTTTTCGACGTTGGGTCCAGGGACACGAATGATGTTCTAGGCTTTTGGTGTAGCTGCTACAAGTGCAGGCGGGCACCGGGCTGGTGTGAGTTGGCACTAGAGGGTAGGAGCCTACCTACATGCCTTCTCTGACCCTGTGTTCGTTGTTGCAGTGCCCGGGGCCCCACATCTGCCTAAGCCCCTCTGGCCCCAGCACCATGGCTAAACCAAGGCAGGATGTGGAGCTGAATCTTCTGGTCCAGGACCAGCCACCTGGTCAGATGGCCCCAGGGCTTTCTCCCCCTACCCTGGCAGAGCACCTCCCCAATGTGCCCAGCTACCGCCCCTCAGTCACCCGCATCCCTGTCCTCATCACCCGGAGGACGGCCTTGTCCAACTCCAGCTTCGCCAAGGAGACCAGGAGATCCATCCGTCGCCTAGGTAGCGTGATCTCGTGCAGCCGGCATGCTTGTGCCCGTGATGTGTGCTTCCGCATGGCTTGGGCTGTTTCCTGCATGGGTGCCACGATCAAGGTGTGGGACTACCAGTTGAATTCATGGAAAACCACCCTCTTTTCCTGTTGATCATTGCCTTCATCTTGCTTTGTGGTGACTGAGGGGTATTTAGTCCCCTTATCTCTGTGCCTAAAATCCTGCAATTAGCAATTCATTTCTTTGGGTTAAACTTTGCATTCTGTAGATCATCATATATATATATATATTTTTTTTACAGGTAGTCAATCACAGCCTAGTTTAAACAAGTTATTAAGATCTCTAGGCCAGGAGACCTGAGTGGAGGAAGAGAATAAATATAGGGGGATGGGGCATAAAAGGAATGTGGGGGCCCATTTCAGACAGAATTCTACTGAGCTTGAGGATTTTCTGGGAGCTGGACTTTCTGAGGGTTGTTGATATCTGCCTAGCAAATTCCATTTCAGGAAAGGAGAGGCCCCCAGGTGTCTGCAGGCAGACTGGGAGGAGAGGCATCCTTAGGGGCCAGCAAAGAAGGAGGGCCTGTCTGGATCTGTTTAATTGTGATGAGGTTCCTGCAATGGCCTTTGGGCTGGGCTCCCGTGGCTTGCTTCCTGATGACAGAGTACTCAGGGACGTCCTGGCGCCTCTGGAGCAACCCCTGTCACTTTCTGCCTTAACTCAAGCCAGACCTGCCCACTTTCCCTTTTCATTTGTTTATTTTTGGATGATACTGTGCAAGGGCACCTATGAGGTCAGTAGACAGGTAGAACTGGACATTTCATGAGACTAGATCCACCACGGTCCCTCTCTCTTCCTGGCTTGTGATGGACAGAGAGTGGAGGTGAGGTGGCACGCAGACCATCCCCACCGCCAGGGATGACACCCCCCAGGAAAGACCGACATCTACTCACTCCAAACCATCCCCCATCTTTCCCCCACCCCCGACGGATCCCTTCTCAATGTTTGCTATATTCTGTGCCAATTCTACTTTTATTGGCTTGCTAATTTTCTTGCAGTGGATTCATTTTTTAAAAATTTAATTAAGTCTATTTAATCAGGAACCTTTACATTACTATTCCAACGGGAAACCAGCACTGCTTGCCATCAATAGAAGGTGTAAATAGAAATAACCACGAGTGACCTGAAAACAGAGTCGTGTTGATAGTTGTAGTCGATAGATCTGTGGGCTGAGGGCTCACAGCTGAGGCCCACTCTCTTTGCCGCAGACGGGAGTTAGGATGTGTCAGAGAGGGGTTAAGGCCATGGGAGCCCCAATCTGAGACTTCCTCTCTGTGCATTCAGGATCTCGAGAGAATTGAAATGGGAGGGCTGTCTTCATTCTCCATTTCCTCTGCCTCGTCTGTGCTATCCCAAGTCATCTTGTGTCCTCCCTGGTCCCTGGGAGCCCCAAACTTGGGGAAATAGTCCCCCCTGACACGTTGGAACAGTGGACTGATCCAGCTGTGGTGAGACCTGCGATGATTTTAGATGCTGCAGACAAGACATGGCAGGGTGTAGCAAGAACATTATTCCCATCTCAGTGATGCTGCTTGGCACGGGGTGGGGTTTTGTTTAAACAGAGGCCTGTATGTGTGTGCTGGTCACCGACCTCAGGAGGAAGTCAGAGTCTAAGAGCTAGAGCCAGGCTGCCTGGGTCCAAATCCTGGCTCGGCAGCGGGTTTCTTAACCTCTCTGTGCTTCGGTATATCCACAAAGTGGGGATGGTGATCACAAGGGCCTCCCAGAATGGCCAGGAAGGAGAAAAGAATTAATGTATATAAAGCAGTGGGGCACCTGGGTGGCTCAGTGGGTTAAGCATCCGACTCTTGATTTTGGCTCAGGTCATGATTTCACGGTTCGTGGGTTTGAGCCCTGCATCAGGCCCTGTGCTGACAGTGTGGAGCCTGCTTGGGATTCTCTCTCTCCCCACCTCTCTCTGTTCCTCCCATACTTGTACTCTCTCTCTCTCTTTCTCAAAATAAATAAAGAAACTTACATATATATATGTATATATGTATATATATATATATATACATATATAAACACTAAGAGTTTACTAGAACAAATGCCTGGCAGGCACATAGGAAGAGCTTCATAGTAAATATTACTCTTCTCTACACAAATTTAATCATACCATATTATTCTTTCTATTTTTAAATAATATTATTCTATAAAAATGAAACACTAAGGTTAGGGGTTTCCCCTCCTTTCCCAGGGCCCACTGAGGGTGCAGAATCCTTCTCAGGGTGAGGCAGGGGTAGGGGAGCATCTGCCCCCTCCCATGCTCCCTGAGACAGTGTTGCGGATGCCCAGGCCAGGGCACTTTCTGCGGCCCAGGTGCCATGCTGGGGGCAATCTGGGACCCTCATCATCCCTGACAGACTGCCCTGGTCCTGGCTGCCCCCCATACCCTGCCCCACCCCCAGCTCACCTCTAGAGGTCTGCGGGGAAGCAGGGCGAGGCCTCTCCTCATGCTCTCTCCTGCTTTCCATAGCCTGGAGTATCTCTTGTTAGTCTGGCAAAACTTCTTCCTTGAGTTTTTAAAAACTTCTTCATTCTGGCTCATCCTCTTCCTCTGAGGGCTTCATTTAAGGCTTTAGTGGAACAAGTGCCAACTGTCTTGCTTAGGTCCCCTCCGCCAAATTTGGGGCACCTGGGTGGCTCAGTTGGTTGAGCATCTGACTTTGGCTCATGATCTCATCATTCGTGAGTTTGAGCCCTGCATCGGGCTCACTGCTGTCAGCACAAACCTGCTTTGTATCCTCGGTCCCCCTCTCTCTCTGCCCCTCCCCTGCTCATGCATGCACTCTTTCTCTCTCTCAAAAATGAATAAACATTAAAAAAGAAAGAATAGGTTCTGTCTGCCAAATTCCACAAGTGCTGGCTTTTCCCATGGTGGCCATTTAAAAAGAAAGTCATCCAAGCATTTCAACATGCAACCTCTCTCCACTTTGGGTGGTATGCACCTGCCTTGCTGGTGCCCAGGCTTGTGGGGCTGCTATTGAGTGGTCCAACCTAGGGGTGGTGGGGAAAGGGCACACCATCTCAGCCCCTCAGCATCCTCTGGGCTTCACCTCAGGTAGACCTGTCCTCACAGTCTCCGGGTGGGTGATGAAGCCTGAGGTAGGGCCACACCCAGACTGGACAGGGAGGACCGGTTCTGGGGATGTGAGACATGGCACGAGGCCTCTCAGAGGTCAGGAGAGGGGTTGGGGTGCTGAATTTCAGGGGCTCCTGGCCTGTACAGAAACAAGGAAATACCAAAACGGATTTCCAAACAGGGGTAGCATACACTATAAGGATAAACTGTTATCCTTGATTGTAAGGAATTTCCAAACATCTCCATTTGAGGCCCTTCAAGAGTGTGAGGCCATGTGTCTTTATCACCCCTACCTTGGGATGGGGAAGCTGAAGCCCAGAGAGGGGAAGCAGCTGAGGCTGTGCTAGGCCAGGCCCTGGGACTTGGGCTCTCCTGGCCTCCCCATGCCCTCTCTGGGTGCTGCCACCCAACTCCCCGCCCCCCAACCTCCCCACCAAACCCCAGGTCTTCGATGCTTTCTAAGCAGTCTGAGCTTTGGAGAGCTGGACTCCAGGCAGCGCTCAAGAGCTTTTGTGGCTTCTATGGTGTCCTGGCTTCTTTTGCAGCTGCTGGGCTGGTGTTTGGGGTGGCCAAGGCCCTCAGAGGCCCCTGGGCTCTGCATTCTTGGACCCCCTGCATGGAGCTCTCCTGTGGGCCCTGTTGGGAGGTGAGGCTGCCAGAGGCCCCTCCAAACATGCTTTCTGTGCCTTTATTCAAGAACACAGTAAGGCCCTTGGGACCTGGCTGTCTCTCTCTCTCTCTCTCTGACTGTCTTCTCCTTCTTCTCTCCAAGTGCCTGCTACAGAAGAGCACCCGGAAGTGCAGGTGGAAGATGCCGATGCTGACGGCCACCCCGTCATCTTGGAGAACCCTCCCTCACCCGAGCTGCCGCCACCTTCTCCTGCCAAATCGGACACCCTTACGGTCCCGGGATCTGCCGCAGGGACCCAAAGGTCACCTTTTATGCTTCGCTTGGGCTTTTCACTGCACTGTGCCATCTGTCCATTTGGCAGATGGGGAGACTGAGGCCAGAGTGGGAAAGCAGCGGGCACAAAGTCACTCAGCGAGTTGGTGTCAGAACTAGGACTATGGCCCCACTTCTGGGTCCTAATCCCTGGCTTCGGACTCTATAAAGAGTTCTCCAAGGAAGTCCTCTCCCCAGTACCCTCAACTGTAAGTTAGAGGGGGTAATTAATGTAACAAGGCTAATTTCCACCCCCTCGTTTTAGTATCAAAATAATGGAATGGAGATACCAAAACATGCTAGAAAAACAAGCATCCATAGTACGACTGCACTAGAAGGTGATTTCATTTTGTTTCCTTCTCTTCCATATCTTGTTTGTGGGCCCGTGCTTTTGCGTGGTTTCATCTGAAGGGGTGATTTGGATCACATCTCATTTGAGACCACGTCTCATTTAGTAACCCCTTTTCCGTAGTGTTAGGCTGTCTCCCTAGCACTCATTTATGGTTACTATGTGACATTCCTCCTGCTCCTTGTGCCAGAACAGACTTAACAAATACCTGTTGTTAGGTACTGCCCATATGGGGCTCTTAACATCTATGTGGGCTTCTTCTCTGTGTCCTGGGGCTCCTTTCTCAAAAGTGGGAATCCTGGTCAAGGTTGCGCACGTCTTTATGCTTCTTGATAGAAATTGGTTGCATGATTAGAGTTGGTTTTGAACAACCTGAGCCAGGTAACTGAGAGAGGTCTTGCATTCAGCTGTAGGCAAACTGTCAAGTGCAGTACAGTGCTTTGTGAACAACTGCATTTAAGCTACAGGGGGGCTGCCCGTGCTTCTCCTGCAGTGGTTGGATTGGGAGACAGTTCCTTTTTCTTGGTTAATCTTGCTCTCACCCGTGGGTTCTTGAGTAAATTTCTCAGCTAAGGTAAAAAACCTGCCATAAGAAAGATGGCTAGATGTGACCAATTGAGGGCTCTCTGATTTTAATGTAAAGAAAAGAGTCACGATCTCATAATGCCTTGGAACACAGCTCACCATCCCATCAATCCTCATGTTTCATTCATTGAGCCACGTGCAGAACACAGATAGCAGGAGAAATAGAGCCAACATTGTTGCAGACATCTGGTCTACCTCCCTCTGTTCCCTTTATACAGGCTGGATTGGGGGTTGGATACCTGGGAACAGAGAGGGGACTAGGCTCACTTGGGGATAGAATCTAAGCCCCCTGCCTTCTGTTTATGAGCTGGGCCTGTGAGGCTCCTCTTGTCCCTATCATTCACTCACTCACTCACTCACTCATTCATTCACAAACATTTACTGAACATCTTTATGTGTCAGACTCTGTTCTGGGTTTTGGGGATGCATCAAGGAGAAGCCTGACAGGGGCCTGCTATCATGGAGCTGACATTCTGCTGGGGCTGAGATAGACAATTAACAGGGAATTGAATAAACAAACAAGATCCAGAGAGCACTAAGTTGAATATGACTGCGAGAAACCAGGGGAGTCTCTGCCTGAGTTGGCCCCGAGAGGGGAGAATTCTGATACCTGACTTGAGAGGCCAGTGGGGCTGCCCCTGGTCAAGGGTGGAATGAGCATTGTGCAACCAACAGGCACCAAAAAGCCATGGAAACCACAGACCCTGCCGGAGGGGCGCACAGGCAAGGCCCTGCCACACAGCTTAGTCTTGGTTTGGGGTGAGTCCCAGCTCACCACTTACCGATGTGAGGCTTAAGGCAAGCCATGTAACATTCCTAGTTCTCCATGTTCCTACTATAAGGTGGGGATAAGCATACCGCCTGTCTACTAGATTGCTGGAAGAATTCAATAAGCTGACTCATGCCAGGTGCTGTGCACAAGGCAGGACTGGGGGAGCCTGAGATCCACACTCTGGGGTCTTGTGCAGCATGTGCTCTCCTGGGCACAGGAGAACTGAATTTGGGTCCCACCTGTGCAAATTCTGGCCTTTGTCTTATCGGGTGTGAATTTTAATTAGAGTGTGAAAGAGGTAAATCCATGAGTGCTGTCATCCTCGGTGAGCTGGCAGAAGGTAATGGGATAGTTTCAGAGCCTTCTGAAATAAAGGCAAGTACTGCACACCCCTCCATCCGTATCCCTCTAGAAGCCTCTGGAATCTGAGTTGTGATGGTTGAGGATGGGAAGAATGGCAGGTAGATTCAAACCCAGACACCATCAGCCGGGACTCCAATGGCTCCAAATGCAGTGCCCTGTGGCAGACTTGGACTGAATGACGGGGGGCCCGGGGATGATTTAGTCTTCCTTCCTCAGACAGGGAGCCTGGAGCCTGGGGCTCGCTCCAGGTCACTCCATGGGCTGGAGACCAGACCCCATGGACCATGGATGTTTACTGTTCTGGCTGGTGGCCCAGCTGTGAGGGGAGGGAGGTGGGGCTTCCAGGAGAGTTAAGGCCTTCTCTGGCAGCTGAAAGGGTGGTGTGAGAGAGAGCACCGGGGATGTGCTGGGGACACTGTGACTGTCGACTGGAATGGGAGGGCAGAAGAACATTTAAGCTGAGGCCCCACTGAGTACTAAGTATCTCATTGAGTTGGGTAGATCTAGTCCCATTTTACAGAGGAGGAAACTGAGGTGGTTCAGAGAGTTTAAGTAACTTGCTGATGTCACACACTGGTAGGAGGCAGGACTGGGAGGCAAGCTCGGGTTTGCCTGATACCAAGTCAGTGTTGTTACTTTTACACTAGGCCATTGAACAGATGCGGGGACTGAGGTCCAGAGAGTGGCTGCTCCCCTCTCTTCTCCCTTTTTGTCTCCCTGCAGGCAAGTGGGAACACTTTGGCAGCACCAACCACCTCCTCCCCATTCCATTCCCAGGGTTGAGCTCTGGGTGATCTGCAGGGGTCAAAGTCGGTCACTTCCCCCTGTGACCCCTGCCCTTGCCGAAGGCCCCTTCCATTTCCGTGTCCTTGCAGGAAGGGGCCGCCCTCCCAGGATGATGAGGCTGAAGAGCTCAAGGCACTGTCGCCAGCTGAGTCTCCCATGGTCGCCTGGTCAGACCCGTCCAGCCCGCAGGGCACTGAGTGAGTCCGGGGTTTCAGAGAGTTGGAAGTTTGGGTGGGGATGAGCAAGCAAGAGGAAGTGAGTGGTGGGAGGGAGAGTTATGGACATTTTAAAAACCCTCCACAATAGCTTTGCCAGTGGCTTCCGAGCAGTAAGACAGGGCTGGGTCTCCTGTCCTGGCTGCTCCTGGCTGGCCTAAGACTTCGGGAAAATCTGCAGAATGCACTCGGACTCTGGTCCCAGCTGTGTTCACAGCCAGCAGTACCCAGAGAGGCAGGTGTCTCTGCACAGACACCTCATTGTAAAGGAGAGGTTGGCTGCTGGCAGGAAACCCCTGAGAGGGTTAGCGGGTACAGCAAGGACCACAGGGACCTCCAGGAGTCTGAACACAAGGAGCTTGTTAAAAATACAGATTCCCAGACCCTGGCCAGACCTGCTGGATCAGAACCTCAGACAGTGTGCCCTGGGGGATTCACATCTTCACAAGCCTCCAGGTGATTTGGATGCACTGACCTGTGGGACAATGTTTAGAGGCCATGGTAAGGGCATTGGGACCTGGGTCTCTGACATCTAACTATTTCAAGGACTGGGACAATGGGAGATGTTTTCCTGAAGAATCTGAGTTGTCTAGTTGATGATGAGTACCCTGGCCCCAGGCTCTGGCCTGGAATCTCCAGCCTGTCCCACCACAGCTCCTGGAAAGGCCACAGGAGGCACTGGGCTTCTCTTTTTTTTTTTTTCCACCCACAATTTTATGGAGTTGGTTTCACAGAGTTGTGGAAAGTTCAGAAAAGTTAAAGAAGCAGGAAAAAAACCCCAAACCTCATCCAGAGTTCAGTGGTCCATTTTAGTACGGAGTCACATCTTATGCAGTAGGGTAGGGATAGGGTTAGAGTTTAGTATCAGAAAACAAGGCAGAAACCAGGTATAATAATAAAAATTACTCAAAGTCTCTTAAGAAGTTCAATGTGGAGATCCATGTATTAGCTAGGTAGGCTAAGCTGCTGTAACAAATAGACCCCACAGATTCAGTGGCATAAGTAACAAGATGTCTCAGAAATCATAATCATGTCACTAGACACATGTTTCAGGTCAGTGGACCTGAAACCCCCATGCAGTCATTTAGGGACCCTGCCGACAGCAGTTTTGCCACCTTCATGTGGCTTCCAAGACCTTGCTGGTCACCCCTAGAAGGGGGGAACACCAGACAAGATGTCCAGGAGACCCATGTAGTATGTGCATCACATCCCCCCGATGGGAGCTCGCCTGGCCACACGTGGGAAATGCAGTCCCTGGCCGGGTGTCTACGTTCCAGCGACTACTCTCCGTGGGAGAGAGCAGAAGTTGGCAAGCAACCAGTGTCTCCACCATACCTGCACGCTGTCTATTGTCAGGACCCTCACACTGCCTGTCTCCAGCCTGCTTCCTCCAGGGAGCACAAGGGGAGTAGCTGGCTTGAGTTCCGGGGCCTCAGTGTATGAAAACAAATAGAGGTGAAAACACTCGTATTACACTCAACTCAGCAAGATGGTCACAGTGAGGCTACAGCCGATTCACAGCCTGTCTCAACTCAGCCAGGGTGCTTGCCTCACCCGATCACCCGAGGGGGGTGTCAGGCAGACTCGCTCACGTTCATTCCCTCTCTGCCTGTCTCTCTGTCTCTCTTGCTGCAAGTGCATACAGTTTAAATTCCTGTAAATTAAAAGGATATCTAATGTATCTGCACCATTTTTTCCACCAATATTTCCTACGCCTAAAAAAGTAGCCCTGTCCCCTCTTTGATCTGTCCCAGGCACGAATCTCATGTGAGCCCCAAACTGGTTAACAGCCCTGACCTGAGTTCCAAGAGTTTCCCCCTCAATCACGAGTGGAATCAAACTTTTCTCAGAACTGCTCATCTGAGGCAGACCCTGCGTGGTACGTTCTCTAGAAGCTGGGCACTTGGGGGGTAGCCCCAGACTGAATTTCCTCCCCGGAGCCATTAAAGTGGATTCGATGTTTCTGATGTCATAGGGAAGCTGGGGCAGTCTTTACCTCCTCCAGGCCAGGTGGGATACAGATGCTGTTCAGTTCTCGCCCAGAGGCACAGGGGTCCCGACCCGTTCAGCCCACTCAGCTTTGGGTGGTGTTTCCACAGTGGCCAGGACCGCGCAACCTCCACGGCCAGCCAGAACAGCGCCATCATCAACGACCGGCTCCAGGAGCTGGTGAAGCTTTTCAAGGAGCGGACAGAGAAGGTGAAGGAGAAGCTCATCGACCCCGATGTCACGTCTGATGAGGAGAGCCCCAAGCCCTGTGAGTCCAGAGCTGGGATGGCTCACTCGGCCAGAAACAGGCCCCTCTTGTAAACTCATGGTGAGGGTGGCCCCAGGGAATGGTTGGGCTGCTCAAGAGAAGCCCAGATCCCCACTGTCTGGAATTTTGAGTCCTTATATACAGGTTTAGCTATGTACCCAGGGGAGGGAGTAAGGTCACAGTTCTGTCCGATGATCCAGTTCTTCACTGCCCCTTTCCCGTTGGTAGGCAGGTGGTTCAGCCTGGGATGCATCTCATGGCCTTATACTCAGTATCCACAACCCACTCAGGAACCAGTCTTCTTTTTCAGAGGCCCCAGCTGCAGTATTCTCATGGGGCTACCTGAAAGTTTCCTGTTTTCAAGATTTCAGGAGGAGTGAGAACTCTCTTGCCAGGGAGGTTTTCCAGGTCTTCCAAAAGGAGGACTGTGCCTCAGAACTCAGGGTGCCAATGATGGACCTCACAGGGCCTGACTCCAGTCCAAATGCTAGAAAGGCACATTGCACTTAACAAAAGTCAATCCCTGGGTCACCAATGACATTACCTTCGATGCACAGGGAGACTTGGCCTCATTCAGTGTCTGGTTTCAGAGATGTAGGAGCTGAGGTTCCTGCTCTGAAAAACCCAGAACAAGGTTTCTCTAGTCTGTGGCTCCGGGTGGCAGGAGGCTGGGGTTATTAAATGCCCCCAACCCTCCAGAGGGACCCAAGGGGGTCTAAACACAGATGCCTATACACCTGGTGGAAACATCCAGCCTGCCCAGAAACACCTCATTCTGGGCAGCTCCTGGGAGGCAGTTCCAGACTGGTAGCTGGTAAGAGAGTCTGGGCGGGTGCCCAGGGTGCCCTGATCAGGAGCTGTGCAGTTTGTTGCACGCGGAGCTGACAGCAGGCTGTGGGGTGGGGACAGGGTCCCCTCGGCTCCAGTCCCAGAGTCTGCGGTGGGGAGCTTTCTCTCTGCATCCTCTGCCTGAGCCTCAGGGCTGGGGTAGATGGTCACTGGTGTCATCCCACAGCTCCAGCCAAGAAAGCCCCAGAGTCGGCCCCGGCGGTAAAACCCACCGAAGCGGGACAGGCGGAGGAAGAGGAACACTATTGTGACATGCTCTGCTGCAAGTTCAAGCGCCGCCCCTGGAGGACGTACAAGTTTCCCCAGAGCATTGACCCGCTGACCAGTGAGTCTTGGGTGTGCCCGGGAACTGCCACCACGTACTGTGTGAGGGCAGGAGAACAGGAGGGAGGAGGGTGGGAAGGACAAGGGCAAGGGCACGCCAGAAACAAACAAAAAGCCCCTGAAATAGGAACCTATGATCACACCCACCTTACAGACAAGGAGACTGAGGCACAACTAATTAGTGGCAGACCCAGGAGCCCTGACTCTTAGCCAAGTCTACTCTCTACTTTGCTCTTGCTGGCTCCTTCTTGGAGCTGCTGCTCTAAGCAGAGAAGGGCAGAAGTTCCTCTGACATCTAAAGTGACTTCCCCTCACTTCCCTTTCAGCCCATGTGCTATTCCTCAGGAATGACAACCCTTCCTGTGGCGCAGCACTTTACAGTTTACAAAGAGTCTCCCGGCCTTTCTTAGCTGAGTTCCCTGGAGAGGCAGGCAGGTGCCTGAGACAGACTTTCCCAAGGTCACATAAGAAGTCCTGTGGGCGCAGGACTCCAACCCTGGTGTCCACTGGGCCTCTAAAGTGACCGGGTGACCTACGGTATCTATCCATCCATCCATCCATCCATCCATCCACCTGTTCATGTGTCCATGTGTCCATCTTCTATGCATTATTTACTATGGTGTATTTACAAGCAGCAAATACATTTTTGGAAATTTTTCAACAAGAATGAGAGCAAAAGTATTTTCTAGTTAGCTGCCTATTATGAAATAATGCCCCTATAGTCCCCCTTCCCCCTCACTGAGTACTCTGATTTATTAGGGCCTAGCAGTGATTTATGTTTAAATCAAAATAGTTTTACACACACACACACACACACACACACACACACACACACACACACACACCAGTTATAGAAGCACCACATCTAGTACTTGCGGGAATAGACAAGTGGAAAGGGAGAAGTCCCACCCTGAACCTACTGTGAGGAGCCCTTCTCCAACTGACATTCTAGCACGTTCCTGCCCCCTCACTCCCCTGCAGACCTGATGTACATCCTGTGGCTGTTCTTCGTGGTGCTGGCGTGGAATTGGAACTGCTGGCTGATTCCCGTGCGCTGGGCCTTCCCCTACCAGACGCCAAACAACATCCACCTCTGGTTGGCGATGGATTATCTGTGTGACCTCATCTACTTCCTGGACATCACCGTGTTCCAGCTGCGCCTGCAGTTTGTCAGAGGGGGAGACATCATTGTGAGTCCCGGGCAGGTGGAGGGGGCGGCCGGGGCCTCAGGAGAAGGCCTGCCCCCTGCTGCTGTGGTAGACGAGATAGATGAACAAGATCTCAGAAACGTCCACCCATGCTTGTTCAAATCACATGCTTCAAATACTGCTCATGGGTGAAGTGGTTACTGGACCACCCGATAGAATTAAAGATGGAGAAGCGGACCAGAAAATGACCTTCAGGTGGACCTGGTTCAGATCCCAGCTCTACCACAACCAACTGAAGCACCCCTCTGAGCCTCAGTTTCCTCATCTGTAAAATGGGGGTAGTAACTGTTCCCACCTCATAGCGTTGCTGTGAGGGTGGATTGAGATGATGTACGCAGATTGCTCAGAGCCTAGAACTGCTAACAAATGACATTTCCTGGGGGTCCCGCAAAGAGCATGCCGTTTGAACCGGCTTGAGACCCTGTGCACTGGCGCAGGCCCCATTACCGGGGAGGAAACTGAGTCCCGATTCTGACTTGGCGAAGGCAGGGGGCCCAGTCCCTGTCTCCCTGTGCAGGTCACTTTCCAAAACGCCACACTGGTGGTGCCTGCTCCTCTGTGTGCAGGCAGGTTAGGGTTGTGTCTCTTAAATGATTTAGAGGAAAAAGAATTCCATGGGCAGTCTTTTTCCAGGCCTGATCCAAGCAGTTGCCAGTTTCTCGGTAAACAGGGTTGCAAATGGTCCAGTTAGGACCAACATGCTAAGACAATAAGCCTGATACTGACTTTCCAGCTAGGAAATGGGAGTCTAGCTGGGTGACCTTGGACAACTCCCTCCTTCTGGGAGCCTCCACCTCCCTACCTGCAGACGCCGAGGCTTTCACGGGAGCTCCCAGCGGCTTCTCTGAGAGGAAAGCTGGAGGCTCTGCAGGCATTTCCAAGCTACTCCCACGGGGTCAGAGATTAAGGTCTCGGGCCATTTCATGGTCAACATTCCATTTCTTTCAGACGGACAAGAAGGAGATGCGCAATAACTACCTGAAATCTCGCCGCTTTAAGGTACGTGCCAGGAGTGCAGATCCCAGTGGGTCTTGGAAGGTGGTTTCTGGGGGCCCTGGATGCTTTGGGGCTTATGTGATGCGATTCCCACCAGGATCGCTCAGGGCAGGCAAATGGGCTTGGTGGCAGAATGCTCTCCGTCCCTTCCTGGGGCAGTCTGACCTCACCTTCCCACTGAAGGTAGAGACCCTGTCACTCACCTAGCCCCAAACCCTGGGGCTGCCTGTTTTATACACCCTGTGCTGTCCCACTGGGATTGCAGATGGACGTGCTCTGCCTCCTGCCCTTGGACTTTCTCTACTTGAAGTTCGGTGTGAATTCCCTCCTGCGCTTGCCCCGCTGTTTGAAGGTAGGCTTCCCATCCAAGGCCTTTAGCCCCTCCGTGCTCTGCGCTGGCACTGACATCTTAATGTCTGCCCTGAGCGGCACCAGGGAGGGGGCTGGGGATCGGGGGAGGAAACCAGTGTGGTCCAAGGGGAGATGGGAATTTCCTTACAATGGTTAGAGCTTCTTAGTTGTGCTGTGTGTTAGGTATTGTCCTGGAACTTTAGAAGTACTTACGCCTCAACCCCATGAGGTGAGTGTTGTTAGTACCAGTATTTCACCAGAGAGGTTACATAACTTGCTGTAGGTCACACAGGTAGGAAGGAATGGCGTCCGGGTTTGAACCCAGGCAGCCTATCTCCACCGTCTATGCTTTCAGTAATTACAGAAACACAACAGAGGAACTTCCGCTTTATGAGGGCCTGCATCTGAAAGATGGGAGCACTGAAGCTTGAAAAGCTTGAGTGACTTGCCCAAGGGCACAGGAGCCAGGAAGTGCCCAGGGTGGGTTTGGATCTGCAGCCCTATACCTGTTTCCTTGGTTGTTGCTCAGGGTCATTACAGCCGTCCCTCCCGCCACTGGGGCAAAGCGCCCTGTGTCCCAGTGAAGGTGACACAACGTAAAGTAGAGACCTGGTCGCTGTCCTTTAATGTGACCGGGATAGACAGCCAGAGCACTTGGGATCCCCAGATGGGTTTTCCTGGCAGACCCATTAAATTCAGCTCTCTCCTCACGTGATACTATGGCCTCTTCCCCAAAACAGTAATGAGGGAATTTACAGAAGAGGCAAACACAATGACCTCAATGACTTGGAGAAACAGGGCAGAGGAAAATAGGAAGCGTGCAAGTCCTCTGATGAAAAGGAAGCACATCTTGCTGGGATCGAGCACGGATGCCGCTACTGAGCTTCCTGGCTGCCAAGAGGCAGGAGGAAAGTGGAAGTGGCACCAGTCCTCGCTGACACATGCCAGCCCCCTGGGGCTGCAGAGGCAGGTTGCTTTAGAGCTCGACACCAGAGCAAGGAAGGCTGGATCCACAAGCCAAGTTTCCCTCCACATGTGGCAGCGGGATCCATCCCTGGGTTCGCACGGTGGTTGTGAGCGTGCGTCACTCACACGAGCTGCCTGATGTTTACCACGACTCCGGACAAAAGTCTGAGCCTAAAGGGAGAGAGATCCAAGCCCACAGCCCCCTGCATCCAGTGCAGACTCCGGAGGGACACTGGAATGACCACCCGGAGGATGACCGGCACATCCCTCAGGGAATTTCCCTCACTGCCATTTTCCAATGTCAAACAACATGTGTGCAGTGTAGCGTAAGGGAGGGAGCTTGCGGCTTTGAGTATGATCTGGGTTCAAATCCTGACTGTCACCCAGCAGCTGTGTGCTTTGGCCCGGTGGCTCAACTTCTCTAAGTACCAACTTCCTCTCTGTAAAAGGAGAACGACAACACATACCAATAAGTAAAAAAGGTGATGCATATAAAGTGCAGTCGTCGAAGGTGCTCAGTAAAGAAGAGCAGTTACTATTACACTTTTATTGTTATAAACAAGTCTTTGAAGGATCTAAGTCAGGGCGTTAGAGATGCTGTTTCTTTATAAAATGTCTTCCTTTATAGGTAAATGTTGAAAACAGGGTCCTTAACCTGAGATGCGTGTATCCCTAAAAACTTCATGGCAGGCTTCAGAAGTCTGGGAGTCCCCTGACCCCCATGCAGACTGTGAGAGCATGACTGGGTGTGATTTCTAGGGGAAGAGGGGCTATTGTTTCCAGCAAACTGGTACATGGAGTTCTTCGCCCCCACCCCTCAAAGGGCTGAGGACCCCTGGTTTTGAATGCACACTCTCTGCCCTCCTCCGGGGGGCGCTGCAGAGACAGCCCTCTGTTCTGGGGAACAGAGCAGGAGAGTAGAGGGCCACCCCCACACACGGGCTGTCCTGATGTTTTGCCTTCTTCCCAGTACATGGCCTTCTTCGAGTTTAACAGCCGCCTGGAATCCATCCTCAGCAAAGCCTACATTTACAGGTGAGATGCCCTACACACACACACACACACACACACACACACACACACACACACACGACACAGGCCATTTGCAGCAACTATAGAGCTAGGCATTCTCTACCCACATTTCTTCTCCTTTCAAGCCCCCCTAGCCGTGCAGGCCCCAGCACTACCGGAAGCCAGGCCTTTTCCTGGCCCTTCTCTGAAGGGATGTTTGTTTGTTTTTTTTTTAGAGAACCAGGAATGTCCCGTTTCCCCCAATTGTGAGGAGGGCACACGTAGGTTCAGATGCATGGCTCACCCGTGTTTCCAGGGAGCCGGGCCTCATTTTGGTCTCAGCTCAGGGAACTGAGCCCTGAAATCTAGCTCAAACATGGGGGAATGGTGGCCACCTCTTGGATGTCTGAGAACGGGGCACAAGACCAGCCAGGCCACGCTCAGGGACAAAGCTTCCCCACATTGCTCACGGAGTGGCACTTCTCTGCACACATCTGTCCCTTCTCTGCCCCTCTCCAACGGTACATCCCCGTCTGGTCCTTCACTCCCCCAGAACTGTCTGCACATGGAATTCGGGGTCATTCCAGCCCCCGGCCTTGACAGCTGGCTGTTCACACACCACCGGCCTTAGCTGGCGCAGTCTCAAAAGAGCATCCGCTTGGTGCAGTCCGGCCACTGGCTGGGTCCCCGCAGCCAGATGTTCATCCTGTCAGGCAGCGGGGCAGGGCTGTGAAGCTCCAACAGGGTGATGTCTGAGGTGGGCGTTGGGGGAGGTGAAGGTGGACTTGTTCCCAGCAGTCCTACCCTTGGGGTGAGGTGTCATGGCCGCCCTTCCTGCCACTGTGTTCATGCTTTTCCTTCTTTCACAGGGTGATCAGGACCACGGCTTACCTGCTCTACAGTCTGCATTTGAACTCATGTCTGTATTACTGGGCGTCAGCCTATCAGGGCATCGGCTCCACTCACTGGGTTTACGATGGCGTGGGAAACGGGTGAGCCACAGTCTTCTTCCTGGGCTGTAATTCACAGTCCTAAGAGTCCCGGAAGGGAGTCCCATCGCCACCATGTTACTGAGGCCACCTTGCTCCCAAGCCACCATTGACATGATAAAGCTTGAGGACCACGTCTCCGTGTCCTCACTGAGCTAACATTTCCTGAGCACCTGCCACGGGCCGGGCAGAGGCGAGCACAGATGTGAACAAGGCTTGCTAGAAAGATCCTTTCAGCCTCCCAAAGTGTAGTAGGGTTGGCAAATTCACTTCACATGTGCGTCTACCCTTCTACCCCATGGTCACATCCAAGTGGGAAGGAGGCCAGAGCACACTTCTCAACATTGCTTCCTGGCTAATCACCAGCCGTGCAGAAGCTGGCACACAAGGCGAACCTTCCTGCCAATCCAGAGAGCTGCCTTACATTGTGGGACGTGCTCAAATAATGATGATGGCAACGGTACTGCTACTAATAATAGCGACAAGCACTTAGAACAGACAACACTTACTAGGTACTGTTTGAAGTACTTAACCTAGCAATTCACTTAATCCTTCCAGTAATCTTCCAGGACACGAGGTAGGTACCGTCATCATCTCTGTTTCACAGATGAGGTAACAGACGTGAAATGATCTCCCAAGGTCACACAGTGACTTCATAAGTTCAAGAGCTGGGATTTTAACCCCGGCAGCGTGGCGACAGTCTACACTGGCGTACCATCTGCCCGGTGCTGGAGAGGTGTGGAGAAGGTGGCATGGGACAGTCAATTACAAAAAGTTAAGTTTGATTTTGGCCTCGGTAGGTGGAGAGAAGGGACAGAGAACCCCTGGGGAAGGGAGCGGCCCATAGAAAGGTGTGGAGGTGCAGAATGGTGGCATCAGGGCACTGGGAGCCATCTTGTGTGGTAGAGAAGATGGTACAATACTGTGGCCACTAGCCACATGGGGCCACCAACTACTTGAAACGCGGTGTGACAGATGTGAATTACACGCAGGTTCGGAGGACATGAAGAAAAAGTCAACTGCCTTATTGCTAATGTCTAAAATACTGGTTATGTGTCAAATATTGATTTTGATATTTTGGGTTGACTAAAAAACATTACTGAAATTAATTTCACCTGTTTCTTTTTACTTAGCAAAAAAGTAGCAACTAGAAAATTTTAAATTACATTTGTGTGGGTCGCATCATATTTTTATTGGATGGTGTGGTTCTAGGCAATGGAGAACCAGTAGAGAGTTCTTTTTTGCTGTTCCTTGTTTCATATATCTTTATTCTGACTATAAAAGAAAGATCAGGGAGCGCCTGGGTGGCTCATTCGGTTAAGTGTCTGACTCTTGATCTCAGCTCTGGTCTTAGTCTCAAGTCTGTGGGTTCAAGCCCCATGTTGGGCTCCATGTGGGCATGAAGCCTACTTAAAAAGAAAGAAAGATCAGGAACATACTTTACTATATTTCTTTGATTCTAAGATTCAGTTAATTATATGATACAATATTGAGTCAACACAGCCTTTTGGAAAAAAAGAAATATTACAATAAATGTACACATATTGTAAGATACATCCTAATTTTAGAAATGTGAAAATGTGGAAAAGTATGTAGCCCACAGGGATATGCATTATATCATGCATATTTGCCCATCACTGAATTGTTTTCAAGCCACTGTCTACACCCGCCCCCCACTGCCCCGCTGGACAGAGAGGCCAGCATCCCCTCAACCATTCCATCATCATTGGGCGTGGAAGGTGTTTCCATTTCTTCTGTCTGACACGTGATATCGCAGTGTGCATCTTTGTATATGAATCTTTGTCCTCTGGCCTGATTGTTTCCTCACACTGAATTCCTAAGGGGAGATGGCAGGGCCAAGGATATGAACATTTTTAAGATTAAAAAAATTATTATTATTTTAATTAGTACACTATGTTTTTAGAGCAATTCTAGGTTTACTGAAGAGCCGATGGGAAAGTACAGGGAGTTCTCATATGCTGCCACATTTTTTTAATGCTTAAAAAATTTTTTTTTTTATTTTGGGGACAGGGAGGTGCAGAGAGACAGAGAGAGAGAGAGAGAGACAGAGACAGAGAGAGAGACAGAGACAGAGAGAGAGAGAGAAAGAGGGAAACAGAGAATCCCAAGCAGGCTCCACACTGCCAGCACAGAGCCTGATGTGGGGCTCGAACTCACAAATGGTGAGATATGACCTGAGCTGAAGTCAAGAGTTGGACGCTTAACGGAGTGAGCCACCCAGGCGCCCCTGCCACATTTTCAAAGGTCGGATGGATATGGAAAGCTAGCCCAGTTACCCTCTCACCTCTTGCCTCAAAACCTTTTAAGCAGGGGGATGACAAGACCCTGGGGGATCTCAGAAAGGGGACTCTACTGGTTTTGGCGGAGGTGGGGACAGACATAGAGGACAGGAGCAGAGGAGCCAGTTAGGGGGAGCAACAAAAGGCCCAGACAAAGGGTTTCTGTGATCGAGAGAAGGGAGGGCAGTGTGGGAAGGAAACCAGAAGCACGCGAGGTCCTGACCAGGGGAGTGAGCCTGGAGATCCAGGGCACAGGCTTTTAGGGACAGGAGGCCAGGGTAGGAAGAATAGAAGCTGTTCATTGAAATTAGCTCAGTGACCTTGGCCGAGGCCCTTCCTTTTTCAGAGACTCAGTTTCTCCTCTACAACATGAGGATAGTCTTGTATTCAGATTTCTCGTGAGGAATAATAAACTCATGTGTGTAACACGTCCAGCTCGTGCCTGGATGGGAGTCAGTGACCACCTCCTGGCTACACTCATTCTTATGGGGAAGCTGGCATACCAGGAAAGGGGTTCCCAACCTGGGATCCAGAGATATAAGGAGGTCCCACTCCCAACCCTGGAAATTGGAGCCCAGTTTTGAGAACTTGCTGGCTTCCCTAAGGAGAAGATTGCTAGCTTTCCATATCTATCCATCAAAGGGGTTTGTGCCCCAACAAGCTTAAACCTAAGTCCCAGGAGCAGGCCTGGCAGGCCCATCATGGGCAGGCCCAGGATGGAATGGCAAGCAGGGAGGGGGAGGGCAGGGGACAGCTGTCTGGGACTCCCTTCTGCAGGGACCTTGGAAGGGGCGCACTGTTTTGGCCACACTACTCTTCTCCAAATGAAATCCTACAGGGAACCCCTAATATGTGCCACAAAACCACAAATGGTAAAGGATTCCTCCAGAAGTCCAATATCATGGGTAATAATCACTTTCAAAATAGTGACCATTTGTTGAGTGTCTGCTGTGAGCCAGGGGCTTGAGGACCCAAGTTCCCACAGAGCTGGGTCCTTTATCCTGCTCTGCTTCTGCCTGGCCTGGAGCATGTAGGGGTCCCCACAGGACACAAGGACTTCAGGGAGGCCTCAGAAGTGCCAGGCCAACAGAAGATTCCTCCAATCAGAAAGAGTGTGGGGAAAGCTCTGGGGACGTTGCTCATGTTGCCTTTCTGTCGGGTGGCCTGGCAGCCCCCCGCCCTCCCCCCGTCCCCAGCTCCCAGCCAGAGGTCAGCTGTGTCTGTGCTTATGGCTGCGCCCTCTGGTGGCTGGGACCAGTATGATGGGGGACTTAACAGGGGAGGCCTGTGTTGTCCTGGGATCTCTGTGTACCGGGAGGGGGGCGTGGTGAGGAGCAGGGCTGCCCAGAGCCCTGCCCCAGACCTTGTAGCTAGTAGTCAGAGGCAGAGCACCCCCCTCAACTTCCCAACAACCTCTGCTTCCCCCTCCCTGTGCTCATTGCACGATTTCTTGCCTGCCCCCACCAGGGGGTGAGCTTCTTGAGGACACAGACGAGCCTGTTCCCCACTGCCGGCATGTGGCCGGCACCAGTAACAGTGAAGGCTGTGGCCGCTGACGTGTACTGACAGCCTGTCAGTTCTAGCACCTCATTTCGTCCTCACGATCACCCTGTGAAGGATGTTTCACTGCTATCATGCCCATTTTAGGAGAAAGAAGCTGAGGCTTGCTGAGACTGAGTAATTCGTCCGCATCACGCAGCTAGGAAGTGGCAGAGCTGGGTTCGAGCTGGGCCAGTCCAGCTCCAGGGAACGTGTTCTAACTATGACTCTGCATAATTAGCTGGTGAATGGAGCTCAGGGGAGGACCCATTTGGGGCCATCCTCAGGCTGGATTATCTGCTAGCCGGATCATGTTCTTGATTGTGGAGCTGTGCAGGGACCTTGAAAGTGTGCGTGTGTCAGGACGCGGGAGCCAGGGCAGGCTCTGGATGCCCTGGTAGGAAGACAGGAAAGCCAGCTGGGATCGCCCTGTCTTTAAGCTCTGTTGACCTCACCCATTGCTGACCCCTGGGAAGGCATAGCCTGAAGGCGTGAACAGGTATATGAGGGACTCTTATTTCTTTGTGATAATGAGATCAGCTTGGGGCATCTCCTATTCCTTTTACCACCAAGTGGGACCCCATCACCCATACCTCCCTTCCCTGGATCATGTGCCTGTGTAGAGTGATTACCAACAGTGGGGTGACAGCTCAGAGAAACAGATGGCAACCTGAGTTCTGATTCCAGCTCCAGACCTTGCCAGCTGGTGACCCTGAGTGTTTCCTTTCCCTTCTGGGGCCTCGGTTTCCCTGTCTGGAAAATGGATGGGCAAGGGAGAGGGTCAGAAAAGATAGCCCTCAAGGTATCTTCCAAGTCTGATGTTGCTCTTGCTTTCCATGAACCAACATGGTGGGATGGCCAAGGGAAGTTGGTGGAAATTGAAAGAATACTGAGGGAGCCCAGGCATCAGGAGTCAGAAGACCCTGGTCTATCCTCCTGCCAAGTGTTTTGAGCAGTCTCCCAGAGCCTCAGTTCCCACATCCGTAAATGGGGGGTGATAACATGCCCCTTCAGGGTTGGGGCAGAGCCACGACCCAGCAAGACAGCATCTGTGAACACACTCCAGAAAGTGCAGAGCGCTCTATGCATGTGCAGGTGTTTTCCTTGCACTTAGAAGGTGTAAAAGGTTTCCTTTTTTGCACAATGCACATCTGTCAGAGCAGGACACCCAGGCTCAGCACGGTGGGGCCTTTGCTGACCGCAGTCCCCTTCTTCTTCTCTCTCCAGCTACGTTCGCTGTTACTACTGGGCTGTGAAGACCCTCATCACCATTGGTGGGCTGCCTGACCCCAAGACACTCTTCGAAATTATCTTCCAGGGGCTGAACTATTTCACCGGCGTCTTTGCTTTCTCCGTGATGATCGGACAGGTACCTGGGTCCCTGGTCTGGCTTGCCACGCACCTGCCTGCGGGGCCTGTCTCCTTCCCACTGCTGCCACAGATGTCACCATCTGTGGCCATTTCTTTTGAACTAAGCTCTTTTGAAAGAGCACAGGACCTCGAGTCAGGAGGCTGGAGCCCTGGGGCCTGCCGGGTGAAGAGGATGGTGCAGAGGTCTGGGTCCGATTCTTCTCTGCCGTTGCTTCCATTTGAAATGTCAGTCCCTTTGGGGTGTCTTTGGAGAGCTGGGCCGAATGGCTTTCTGCAAAGCCTGGGGATTTGGGCTGTTCCCTTGGAGAGAAACCTTGAGAGTATCTATTATGCTGGGGGTGCATCTCATGTTCTAATCAGCACATGGGGCCGCAATCAGCCGGCCTCAAAATTGCCTCTAGGGGCCCTGCCCTGCAGGGCAGTACACTGAGTTATTTCCTCCAGTAAGTTCAAAATGGCCTCTGGCACCAAGGGGCCATGTCATACCAGAATCAGCCCAGCCCAGCGAGGCATCTCCTCCTGGTGGGGCCCCAGGGGCCCTCACGTCCCGTGTCCACCCTGGAGGTGGAGTTTCCCTTGTCAGACAGTCCCCTGTCTCTGTGTGTAGACATGGATCTCCCTGTCTCCTGATCCCCCTTCCTCGAGCACCCCTGGTCAGTGTAGAGTAAACATGCTCATGACACATGTCCCCAGAGCCCCACTCTGATCCTTGACTTTTCCTCCCCGGACCTAGATGAGAGACGTGGTGGGGGCCGCCACTGCAGGGCAGACCTACTACCGCAGCTGCATGGACAGCACAGTGAAGTACATGAACTTCTACAAGATCCCCAGGTCCGTACAGAACCGTGTCAAGACCTGGTACGAATACACCTGGCAGTCCCAAGGCATGCTGGGTAAGACCAGTGCCCCGGCTGCCAGGCAGCTACCCCCTGGTCACCTCCTCCCGGGGCCCTGCCTTTTTGGTCCCAACCTTTGACCCTGTGTCCCTGAGGTCCTGAACACTTACTTAAGTGAGAGGGGCCTAGGGAGGCCTGTGAGGTGCCCCAGGCTGGGCCGTTGAGAGAGCCCTGAAGACTTGAGAGCCGTGTCTTCTGGATGCCCTGCCCCCTCACTTCACCTGCCTTGAAATACATCCCCATCAGAGATGGAAGTACAGTTGAAGTCAGGAGAGAAGGAAGACCCCCTCTCGCTTTCTCTTTCCATATACACGCCTACACATATATTGTTTGTCAACTTTTTGATGTTATGCTTTCCTTCTGAAATTATTTGGCTACAACCATGCATTTCATTCACCACTGTTTCTGCCTTCTTGTCAGAAGAACTGGGGTGTGCCCAGGAATTCTTGCAAAGTGGGAGAACCTTAACCCGTACGTTGTTTTCAAATGTAGTGAAGTTTTTGTGAATTCTAAACGGAACCCTTCTTAAAATTTGCATATGCTATTTGTATGTTGATTTATTTACAATTATGTTTTTTCCAGTTTCTTTTTTATCTTTGGGAGCTAGTAATTTTGTTTTCAGAGCGTAGACATCATTTTGGAGCCCTCTGACAAGCCTGTGGGCCACTGACTGTGTGCCTTAGAGCCCCCTCAACTCTCTCAGCTAATTAAGGAGCCCCCCACTGCTTCCATGGGCTTCCCTCTGGCCTTGAAGAAGCTACACCTCAACTCCAAGCTCTCCTGAGCTGAAGGTGTTGTCAAATCTGTGAGTGTAGAATCTTCATTAGCGCCCGTTGCTACTGTACTCACTCTACACAAGGCACATTCACATGCATGGCCTCGTCTGTGCCAGTGATGGACTTGTGACATCTGAATCATTGCCCCCTTTCACAAGGGCGCACATTAAGGACCAGAGAGGGCTCGGACCTGCCCAGGGTCATACAGATCAGCTCTTGAGCCCATAAATAATTGTGGTGGAATAGAAGGGAATCGGGATTGGGGTCAGGTTGTGCCTTTCTTGTCCCCAGTACCGACATTCATTCTGTGCCAGGCTCCCCACTGAGCACTGCAGACCCATCATGGGGAAAAATAGACAGGGCCCCTGCTCTCCTGGGACTGGCCTTGGAGCCCCACGGCCTGTGTGGGATCTGATTCCATCCCCCTGGGCTGCGAGCAAGCCACTGCCCTCCTGAACCTCCCTTTCTGTAAGGTGGGGGTTATAGTAGTGGGCACCTCTTGTGTTGCTGGGAGATTTAATAAAACCATCTCTGTAAAGCTCTGTAAAACAGTGTTTGAAATACTTTAGTTCTTGCTAACATTCTTAGAGCATGAGGAGGACAGACTAGTATTAACAAACCATTGCAATAAAGAGTGTGATCAGCGCTGCAGCACAGAGACTGCTAACATAATAGCGGGTGGGGGAATCTCAAGAGAAGGCTTTGGGGGAGTACTGGGTTCTGAAGGAGGAGTGGAAGTTAACTACGGGGGTGTTTCCTGCAGAGGGAATAGCATCCAAAAAGCCCAGAGAGGGTACTCTCCCAGTATAGAGTGGTTCTAGATAGCAGAGGAATGGTGTGGCTGGGGTCCCATGTGGGGGGAGTGGGGGGTAGAGGCCTGGATGTGTCTCTGACCATTGCCAGGGTCTCCTTTGCAGATGAGTCAGAACTGATGGTGCAGCTTCCGGACAAGATGCGGTTAGACCTCGCCATCGATGTGAACTATAACATTGTCAGTAAAGTGGCTCTCTTCCAGGTATGGCCCACCTAGCGCCCTCATCCCCAGGGTTCTGGGAAGCCCCAAGCCCCCACCCTCCTCTAAACGGGCATTCTTTCCCCTTCCTCCTGGGGACAGGGCTGTGACCGACAGTTGATCTTTGACATGCTGAAGAGGCTTCGTTCTGTCGTCTACCTGCCCAATGACTATGTGTGCAAGAAGGTGAGTGGCCCGAGGCAGCTGCAAGGCAGTCTGGGGTTTACAGCGCATCTCCCTGCTAGGAGCTGTGCTGAAGGGGGTGCCTCTGAGGGCCCAGGGGGTTTGCAAGCCCAGGGAGAGCAGAATTGCTGGGGAGGGACAGGGACTATAGCACCAGTGAGCTGACCCCAGGGCTCCTGGGTTGTTTGGCATTGAACTCAGGTGGGCCTCAGGCTTTGCTCCTTTTGACACAGGACCAGGGGAATCAGGACGAGGAACCCCACTTTCCAGAAAAGGAAAGTGACCAACCTAACGAGAAGTAGGTCCTTGACTGTGTAGATGAAACTGCTCCCAGGGTCTTGGTCTTCCTTTCAGAAAAATGGGGCAGCAGAAGGGCTGGGATAGGTCAGAGGTTGCAAACTGATGGCCTTTGCATAGCAGCCAGCCCATTCGTTGTTTTGTGGGTTTTTTTTCCTAATCCTAAAAAAATGTTGAAATAGTCCCCAACCTTTAAAAACTTGAAGGTTTTGGGGTGCCTGGGTGGCTCAGTTTTATGAGCATCCAACTTCAGCTCTGGTCATGATCTCACAGTTCGTGGGTTCAGGCCCTGCATCAGGCTCTGTGTTGACAGCTCAGAGCCTGGAGCCTGCTTCGGATTCTGTGTCTCCCTCTCTCTCTCTGCCCCTCCCCCACTAGCACTCTGTCTCTGTCTCTCTCTCTCTCTCTCTCTCAAAAATAAATAAACATTAAAACATTTTTTTTTAATTTGAAGCTTTGCATAGAAAGTCAGATTTCTGGCTGAAAACAGAAAAAAATCTGTTAGCACTGAGCCCTACTTTCCCAAATAGCAAGAGTCCCCTTCAGGGGACATTGCCCTCCCTCCTGATGCCACAGGCCCCACCCCTCCCCACTGCCCCATACCAGGCTCCCTTCACTCCTTAAACCACCCCTCTGATCCTGGAAAACGTTTGGATTTGAACCCAGGGCTCCACATGTCTAGGGCTTCTGCTTCCATTCTTCGAGGTGAGACCAAGGTCACCTGGTGAGTGAGTGGTTAAGGTGGAAGGACAGGAACTCAGGTTTGAGTCCTCTTGTTCCCAAGCTGTCAAGACAATGTGTGTACAGGGGTGAAAAAAAAAGCCCAAGCAACCCCTGTAAGACTCAGGAAACCAGCCCAAGAAGGCCCCCATCTCCAAGTTGTATGCTGTGCAGCAGTGAAGTTTCTGGAAGCAGAGAGCCCAGGGAAATGGGGAAACAGTGTTACAGCTGGTTGAGAATTTAGAAAGGCAGCCCTAGAGGCCAAGGGGTTTGGGAGCAATAGAGTGATTTGTCTGATGCTGGAGCTGCTTCCTAGCTGTGCAGTCTTGGGGCACTGGCTTCCCCTCTCTGACTCTCTCTCTTCTCATGGGTAAAGTAGGGATGTTGAGGGTACCGCCTCATGGGATGGTTGTGCAAATTGAGTAAGTTGTGCCTACAGAGTTTGGCACCGTGCTGGCACAGAGGAGGTACCATTGCTGCTGTTATTATCCTTGAGGGTAATGTAGAATCTACTGCAAATGAGGAAGCGTCAGCCAGGTGGTTGGAGTCGGCAGGTGGAAGTGAGCCCTTATGAGCAAGTGCGAATGGCACCCTCTGCTGTCCAGTTTTGCTCCGCGAGGATCTCTCTGAGACACCCCTGGGGCAGCCCCCCCTCACCGCCCCCCCAAACAGGGCTGGTTAGTTAGGTGAGGGTGAGCTCTTTAGACCCTTCAGTCCGTGTCAAATTGAACACAGAAACAGGGAAATGAAACTTCCCATTTGTTAAGAAGCTCATGCACGTGTGAGATGTCCAGGAAATGTTTGTCAAATGAATCAGAAGTGTAATCGATTTACCTGCCCTTGATCTCTGTCCTTTCAGGTGTGACCCGCAGGAAGTAGGGGTCTGTAGGGGGCATGAGGATCAGAAGGTGCATAACAGACGGGGTTTCTGATGGCAATCCAAAGCAAGCTATTCATTCATCATTTGTTTTAATTTGGGATTAAGACCATTGAAATAGTTTGCTACAGCTTCTGTAACAAAGGACCAGAGAGTGAGTGGCTTAAACAACAGAAATGTATTGTGTCACCATCCTGGAGGCTGGAAGTCCAAGATCAAGGTGTCGGTAGGGATTGGTTCCTTCTCAAGGTTGTGAGGAAAGGATCTGCTCCTCTCTCCTTGGCTTATAGATGGCTCTCCCCTTCCTGGGTCACTTCATGTTGTCTTCTCTGTATGCCTGTCTCTGTCCAAATGTCCCCTCTATAAGAACACCAGTCATGTTGGGTGAGGGGCTCACCCAACTCCAGTTCGGCCTCATCTTAATTTAACTAATTATATCTGCAATGACCCTCTTTCCAAAGAAGGTCATATTCTGAGCAACTGGGGTTAGGACTTCACCAAGTGAGTTTGGGAGGGACACAGTTTAACCCACAACAACCATAAAGTCTGGAACCAGACCTCCTGGGTTCAAATCCCTGCTCTCCCCTGGCCTAGCTTTGTGCCCTCAGGCAAAGAGTTCGTATCCCAGAGCTGTTGGGGATTAAGCAGGCTCAGACACATATAACACTTAGAAGAGTGCCTTGCACAGACGAACGTTGTACAAGGGCCAGACAACATGACTGATGTTGTTCTCATTCCTATTTCAATCAGCCAATGCTTACCAAGCTCCTGAAGTGGTATGTGCTCGGCACAGGTATCAGCTTATTGTATGAACCACTGGTGGACTTTCCATGCCTCTGGGCCCTCCACTGGAGTGTATCAATGGGAGTTTGCAGAATGCATTGCACCTGCACCTCCTAGCTTACCCTGAATTTTGCTTTACATCACACCACTAACTCCCCATATAACCCTGTCAGGTAGGTTCGGGGTGGCCACTCTCCCCAGTCCACAGATGGGGAGACTGAGGCCCCAGAGGGGAAGCGACCAAGTTGGTGGTGGGGCTGGATGCCGGCTCACATTCCTCTGTGCTGTGCCACCAGCCTCTGGGCCCAGCCCTGCTGCCTTTATGGTCATTTTGGGAAAGGACAGAGGGGCTCACCCTTTCTCTGTTTCAGGGGGAGATAGGCCGAGAGATGTACATCATCCAGGCAGGAGAGGTGCAAGTCTTGGGTGGCCCTGATGGGAAGGCCGTGCTGGTGACGCTGAAGGCTGGATCTGTGTTTGGAGAAATAAGGTCAGAGGGACGCTGGGGTGAAATGAGGAGACGTGGGCCCCAGCTGGAGGGGCGGGTGGCCAGCGGGTGGGACTTCGTCCTCAAGGGCTGTGGATGCTGACATATGCAGGGTCGGCCCCGGCTCTCTGCCGTGTGGGGCCGCCACCATGCTCCAGGCAAGAGGTAGAGAGGAGCACTTTAGTGGGATCACAGCCACAGCCTGCCACATCTCACCTCCCTCCCTTTTCTGCCCCAGCTTGCTGGCTGTTGGTGGCGGGAATCGTCGCACCGCCAATGTGGTCGCCCACGGGTTCACCAACCTCTTCATTCTGGATAAGAAGGACCTGAATGAAATTTTGGTGCATTATCCTGAGTCTCAGAAGTTACTCCGGAAGAAGGCCAGGTACATTAGTTTTATTTTAAGAAGTCCGTATACACTTCAGTGTGCATTTTGTAAAGACTAAAACTTTCGCTTATATAACCGTTGTACCTTTATCAAAATCAGGAAATTCAGTATTGAAACGATGCTATTATCTCATCCCTAATCCATCTTCAAATTTGATTAATTGTCCCAGTCGTGCCTTTTACGGCCTTTCCTATCTTCTTTTCTATTCCTGAATCCAGTGGAGGACCACCTGTTCATTACACTGCCTCGTATCTGCAGTCTCCTTCGATATGGGTTCATTCCTCAGCCTTTTTCCATCTTTAGTGACTTCGAAGAGGACAGGCCAGTTATTTTGTAGAATGTCTCTTCATTTAGATTCAGCTGATGTTCTGATATTTTCTCATGATTACCTTCAGGTTCTGCATTAGGGCAGAAATTACTCAAAAGTGATGTTGTGGGGGCTCCTGGCTGGCTGGGTCGGTAGAGGATGTGTCTCTGGTTGTTGTTCAAGCCTCATGTTGGTTATAGAACTTACTTTATTATTTTTTTTAATTTTTTTTTACGTTTATTTATTTTTGAGACAGAGAGAGACAGAGCATGAACGGGGGAGGGTCAGAGAGAGAGGGAGACACAGAATCTGAAACAGGCTCCAGGCTCTGAGCTGTCAGCACAGAGCCTGATGCAGGGCTTGAACTCACGAACTGCGAGATCATGACCTGAGCCGAAGTCGCATGCCCAACCGACTGAGCCACCCAGGCACCCCAAGCTTACTTTATTTTATTTATTTATTTTTTTTTTTTTTAATTTTTTTTTTAACATTTATTTATTTTTGAGACAGAGAGAGACAGAGCATGAACGGGGGAGGGGCAGAGAGAGAGGGAGACACAGAATCGGAAGCAGGCTCCAGGCTCTGAGCCATCAGCCCAGAGCCCAACGCGGGGCTCAAACTCACGGACCGCGAGATCGTGACCTGAGTTGAAGTCGGATGCCCAACCGACCGAGCCACCCAGGCGCCCCGCCCCGAGCTTACTTTAAAAAAAAAAAAAAGGGGATGTTGTATTCTTCTTAGTGCAGCATATCGAGAGGCATGAGATGCTGGTTTCTCCCAGTATTATTGATGATTTTCCTTTCCATCACTTGGTTAATTAAGCCTTCTGGACTCTAAAGTTAACATTTTTCTCTTTGAAATTGATAAGTAATTAGTGCGGAGTCACTCTGAGGCTCTCTGGACCTCCTGTTCCCCATCAAGCCTTCACTTGCTACTTCCAGTGCCCATTGAGGGTTCTTGCTAAATCAGTGATTGCCGCAGTGGTTGCCAAATGGTAATTTTCTGACTCCTACGTATTGTGCCTTCTACGTTTATTAGTGAGCATTCTACTTTAAGGAAGAGCTTTCTCTTCCTTCCCATTTATTGGTTTATTCATTTATCTATATCAATATGGATTTGTTTTGTTCCATAAATATCATGTTACAGTCATTGTTTTGGTGTCAAATTGCACTAAATTTGGCCAGCAGGCGCCTCTTCAGGCTTGCTCTTGTGACTCTTTGTAACGTCCCCAACACGTTTTAGCACTTTCTTGCTAAGAGCCACAATAAGATGCTCTGGGGTCATCTTGTACTTTCCCTGCCACATCCCTGGAAATGGCCATTTGATTCCTTGTAGGTGGAAATGGTTTTTAGAAACCAACATTTGAGCACTCCATGTGCTCATTGCTACTGGGGTGCTACTAGGCTCTGAAGTGGGCAGAGCTGGGAAATACACCCACATGCAAATATACATAAATAAGTGTAGGAGCACCTGGGTGGCTCAGTCAGTTGAGTGTCCGACTTCAGCTCAGGTCATGATCTCATGGTTCATGAGTTCGAGTCCCGCATCAGTCTTGCTGCTGTCAGTGTGGAGCCTGCTAGGATTCTCTCTTTCCCTCTCTCTCTCTCTCTGCCCCTCCCCCACTTGTGTTCTCTCTCTCTCTCTCTCTCTCTCTCTCTCTCTCTCTCTCAAAAATAAAACAGTAAACATTAAAAAAATAAGTGTATCTATATATGTGTATATATCAATATCTATTTTGCTGTCTGTATCTGTGTCTGTACCTAACGATTTCAGTCCAACACCATGGAAATCCTTCTAATCTGTTCCTTTCCCATATTTGGTAAATTTCTTCTCCAACCCTGAGAAATTTAGCTCTCTTTACCCTCATTACATTAACTCCTTTGTTCAGTCCTACCATATAGAGAAAGCAGTTTCAAAATTGCTCTCCCATACCACTGGGGTGGGGGCTGGGGAGAAGCCTTCTCAGCAGAATTCAACATTTGGTACATTTCCTTTGGTCTTTAGCCTGAGTGTCTACGATGTAAGTGTTGTGTTGAGAGTTATTCGGATTCATTTCTTTTTTCTCCCTTTAGTGTGGGTGTTCTGTTCATGTGAAATACACCCAGGTTTGCATCCCACTTTTTATGATTCCTCTCACCCCCAATCCTTGTTGATTTTTTGTTGTTTTGAATATGTCTAACATGGCACCCAAAGTCATAATGCAACAAAATGGGATGCCCGGAGACTGTCCCAGCTACCCCCCAACCGGTTGCCCCTATACAAACCCAGGCTCATTAGTTTCTGCTGCTTCCTCAATGTGTTTCCTTCTGCAGAAATGGGCAGATGGGTGAATATTTTATTTTCTTTTCTGTCTCACACAAAAGGTAGCATACTGTAGACTTTCTTTTGCACTTTGCTTTTTTTCACATGACAACAAATCCTGAGAAGCCTTCTCTATCAGGCCATAGACCCATCTGCATTCCTCTGATGCTTGCAGACCATTTCTATGAATGGGCGTTTAGGCCATTTCCAATATTTTGCAATTCTCAACAGTGCTGCAGCGAACCACCTCATGTATCTGTGTTTTGTACTGTTGAAGAATAGGTAAGTTTTTAGAAAAGCAGTTTTTTTTGTTTGTTTGTTTTCAAACCCTTCAGATCAGGTTTTGAGTTGAGTGATGGAGGCAGCAGGGTGTGGTAGAAAATCCACAACAGGCTTGGGAAGTTACAGGGCTCCAACCCTGTCCTTGTGAGGTACTGGATGTGTGGTTTTAGAGAAGTTACTCAACTTCTCTGGTCTCAGTTTTCTGCAGTTCTATAAAATAAGGGTAATCCCCTCTACTGTGTTGTTGGGAAGATTAAATAAAATAGTGTGTATGAATGTCTCCAGCAAGGTACCTGGCATGTGGGAGAGCTCAGTGAACATTAATAATGGTTCCTCTTTATCCATTAAATCCTCTCTATAATTTTCTCATTGGATAAAGCCTTTTCAAATCTATATATCTGGTTTTGCCTCCCCTGCCTTTTATCATATATTCCTATTTTCTACCTCATTCTATGAAATGACACCATAAATAAACTGCCTCCGTTCACAGCACACAATAATGTATTGAGTACATAGTTCTAGGCCCTGGGGACACAGCAGGGACCAAATAAAGCTTGAATTCTAATAGGGGAGACCAACAATGGAGAAATGAATGGTTATGTGATATCCCCAGCTGGGCACAGGGCTGTGAGGGGACACAAACCACATCGAGGAGACAGAAGTGATGGAGGGAGTTACTTGAGATAAGTTGGCCAGGAAAAACCATTCTGAGGAAAGTGGTATTTCAGCCGGGACCTGCACAGAATAAAAGCATGAGCAGGACTGCTTGCAGGGAAGAGCATTCCAGCCAGATGGAACAGCATGTGCAAAGGCTCTGCGGAGGAGCAAGCTCAGTGTGTGCGTGGACCAGCAAGAAAATAAGAGTAGCTTGATATGGGATGGGAGAAGTCAAGGGGATGAGCTTGGGTAGGGCCTCTCAGGTGACGCCTTGCAGTGGCTTTGGGTTTTATTCTGAGGGAGATGGCAGCTGTGTGGGGTTTTACACAGACAAATGATTTGACATGACTTAAGTTTTAAGAAAACCCTTTCGGCACCCCCAGGTGAATGGAGGCTGTGTTGATGTTGGCCCATAATACATGCAGGATGCTGGGGTCCCCTGAGGAAGGAGGCCGCCCTGTAACCCAGCTTCCCTGTTTGCTCTTAGGGAAGCCACTGGGCCCTTCCAAAGGCCGGTCTGTCTGAACTTCTCCCACAAAATTTGCCCATTTCCTCCTGCTCTCCCGAGGAACAGGGAAATATAGCCAATCCTCATTAGTCGCGTATTTGCGATTCTGTGTTTGCAATTCGCCTACTCACTAAAATTTATTTGTAACCCCGAAATCAGCACTCACGGGCATTCCCAGTATTCCGTGGACGTGTGCAGAGCAGTGAAAACTTTGAGTTGCCCGAAGTGCACGTCCTGGGCAGAAGTTGAACAAGGTGACGCTCTGCTTTATTGTTTCAGCTCGTAAGCGTCTGAACACTTGGAAGCAAGCGTCCTTTTGTGGTCTGTTTAGTGCCACCTTTTTCACATTTTTGTGATCCTTATTGGTGATTTTGCTATTTAAAATGGCCCCTAAGTGTAGTAGCTGAGGTGCTGTCTGTGTTCCCAAGGGCAAGAGGGCTGGGATGGGCCTTACAGAGGAAACACGTGGGTTAGACAAGCTTCGTTGAGGCATGACTTTCAGAGATGTTCGTCGTGAGTTCAATGGTAATGAATCAACTGTGTATTACATAAGATGTCTGTAAACAGAAACACACACAAATATTGATTAGTTGATGAAAATGTTGTCATGAGAGGCTCGCAGAAACCTAAGCCTGTGTTTGCCCCACAAACAATGACTCGGTGTTCACTAATTCGGTGTTTGCAGGGGCTCTACAGAGCGACACTACCAGGAATAGTGAGAATCGACTGTTTATGTCGGAGAGCGGGCTCCAGGTCCCCCTACCCTGCCTTCTTCCCCCCGCAAGAGGAGCAAGGCCCAAGAAAGCCACCCATTTCTTTGGCTAGGTTAGGTGAGGGTGTGGCAAATCAACTAGCATCCCGCAGAGGCTCCTGACCACGTGTGGTGAGCCTGTGCCTGGCACTGGAGGAGGCCGAGGGGCTGAGGTGCTGGCCCGGGGTGGGGAGCAGCCAGAGAAAGGAGTTGCTGACGGGCCTTGCAGCACAGAGGCCCTGGGACCAGAGCTGTGGCATGATTCATCAGAGAGGTGGTTCTCTGGAAAGGCAAGCTTGAGGACAGAGGCAGGGGATCATGTGGGAGCTCTGCCCATCAAAGGAAAAGACACGATCTGAGAGCCACAGAGTCTGGGGATGTCTGAGTTGGTGACAGCCACGTGTGGGATTCTGTCTAAACTACCTGCTTTACAGATGGAGGACCGGAGGCCCCGAATAAGTGAAGTGCTCAGCTCTCTGGCTTGGCCACTCCAAGAAATAGGGCAAAAAGGTCTCATGCATACTACTTTCTCCAGGGATGAATGTGCGATCCTACTTATAGGAAAATGCGTCATCGGAAAATGAGGCTGAATTTCCTTAATCTGGCAATGTCCCAGAAGCCAGCTCAGTGTCTCAAAAGAGAGACAGCCCCTTAGCAATCAGAAAAAGTCCCATAGATAGTTCTATTGTGTCATTTTTGTACCACGCCGAGCCTTCCCACAGACTGTCATGCTGTGAGTTATGGACTAAATGACACAGGTGACAGTGCCAGGCATGGAGAGGCCGCTGATGAATTATCATGTTTGTGTTCTCCTGGGGGAGTCCCAGCCGGAAAATGCAAGTCTTGGGCAATTAATATCAATATGCACAATTTAAATCCATTGCCTCTGATTAGATAAGCAGCCAGTAATGGCCTCATTTTTAAACAAACAAGTTTTGCTGGAGCCCTGGTGAATGAATTTGCCAATTAGGAGTCTAGGCCCACTAGACTGCAGACACAATTCATTTGTTCTTGAGCCAAACCACTCATCACATATCTGTAGCATGAAATATTCCTTATCAAAGGCTGGGGCTCTGTTCGATGGAAGATTGTCTCCTTATTTAGAGAGCAGGGTGGCAAACTGCATTTAAATCTGGGTTTTAATTCTGCCCCTGTGATTTCCTCACTGTGTGACCTTGGGAAAATTACTTACCCCTCTGGCCTTGCATATCTTTATTTGAAATGAGGGAGAAAAATAGGGCCTACCTGTGAGGATTCTGTGAGATTTAAATGACAGAATGTGTATCAGTTATCTGTTGTTACGTAATGATATTACGTAACTTTTAAAACCACACGTATTGATTACCTCAGAGTTTCCGTGGGTCAGAAGTCTGGGGTGGCTGTGGTGGGTCTGCTGCAAGGCTGTAATCAAGGTGCGGGCCAGAGCTGAGTCCCATCTCAAATGTCCCCTGGGGAAGGACCTGCTTCCAAGGTCACATGCTTGTGAGCCGACTTCAGTGTCTTGTGGTTGTAGGACTGGGGGTCTCAGTTCCCAGCTAATTGTTGGCCGGAAGCTGCCCTTGGTTCTTGCCACGTGGGCCTCCCCCAACATGGCCACTTGCTTCATCAAAGCCAGTGAGGGAGAGTCTCCTTGTAAGACAGAGATCACAGTCCCATGTGACATATTCACAAAGGTGGTGTCTGATCACCCTTGCTGTATTCTGCTGGTTGAAAGCAAGTCACATGTCCCACTCACCCCTCAAGGGGAGGGAACACCAGGGAGGGGGATCTCAGGGGCCACTGAAGAGGGTCTGTAAAGGACTGAGCATAGCACCTGACACATACAGACACTCAGTAAGTGTTGACAGAGGTGATGGTGAGGATGGCAAAATGACAGCGAAGCAAAAGGAAGAGAAGGGAAAGGCTTTGGGTCTTTTTTCAGCGGAGCATCCTATTTCTGAGTCCATATGTTATAGCATCATTCAGTATTTCCCGTGTGACCTCAGAAAAGTTCTTGACCCCTCTGAGCCTGCATTCCTCCTCTATAAGGTACAGACAATAAACCCACGTCGTCCCGGTTGCTCCCATCACTGACTGAGATGCGACGCATAAAGCACTTCGCGCCATGCTTACTCACAGTTCGCCAGCCAAAACCACCGCCGCCACACCACAACCCCAGTGGATTCTACGTGAATGATGCTTTCTTTTCTCCCAGAGCATGCTTGTGATGTTCACGGGCGCTGCTTTCTTTCAGGCGCATGCTAAGAAATAACAACAAGCCCAAGGAGAAGAGCGTGTTCATCCTTCCTCCCCGGGCAGGCACCCCCAAGCTGTTCAACGCCGCCCTGGCCATGGCAGGAAAGATGGGCGCCAAGGGGGCAAAAGCCGGCAAGCTTGCCCACCTGAGGGCCCGGCTCAAGGAACTGGCTGCGCTGGAGGCAGCAGCGAGGCAGCAGCAGTTGCTGGAACAGGTAACGCCGTTGGTTCCCCAGCCTCCCTGTCCATTTCAGCCTCGTGCCAGAGAGAGGGCCAGGGTGCCTCAGAGAGCGGGGAAATCTCTCCCCCTTCTTCACATCAGTCAGGACTCATTTGGTTGCAAGTGACAGAAATGCAAGTCACGGTGCCAGCTCACGTTAGCTTAAAAAAACAGGGAATTGATGGGGGTCAGGTAGCTGGGCAGTTCAGGCAAGGCTGGATCCAGGAGTTCAGACGATGCCCAGGGGACTGGTTTTGCCATTCTGTCATTCCTGCTTTCCTCAGGGACGGCGTCCCATCACAAGGGCACTAGGGTTACATCCTTCTGGTTTAGCAACTCCCAACAGAAAGTTCCTCTTTCCCCATGATTCCAGCAAAAGTCCCAGGGCTCACTGTCACTGGACAGAATCGGATCGCGTGCCACTTCCCCAGCCACCGACTGTGGTGGTGTGGAGAGACCAGGCTCCCCTGCCTGGGCTGAGGGGGGCAACCCTCCTACGGGAAGTCCTCCTGCACTTGCAGAGGTAGGAGCAGTGGGTGTGGGCAGGGAATGTCCTTCCCCAGATGGCAGTGATGTCCTCATATTTTATATTTGTGTCTGTGACACTTGAAAAGATTTGAAGAGAAAAAACTCTGCAGCAGGCACAGTGCCAACTGTCCTCCCCGCCCCAGTCCTCGGAAATCTGAAGGGAATTTTAAAATTAGTTCTGGGACTCTTTTCTGTGACTAATGCCAAAAATGCCAATTAGAATGATTGCACTAATTATGACTATTCATGACTGTCCTTTAGGGAGGCTGTTGGGAAGGAGGCCGTGGTTAGGTAGCAGCTCCGTGGCAGGGAGGGGACTGCAGTCCACATGACAGAATTCAAAGGGGGCACCTGGGTGGCTCAGTCGGTTAAGCGTCTGACTTCAGCTCAGGTAATGATCTCGCAGTTCGTGGGTTCCAGCCCCGCATCGGACTCACTGCTGTCAGCGCAGAGCCTGCTTTGGATCTTCTGTTTCCCCTCCCTCTTTGCCCCTCCCCCACTTGCGTTCTCTTTCTCAAAAATAAATAAATCTTGGGAGGGGGGCAGGGGGGCGCGGCAGGAAACAAGCCTAGTGAACTTATTCTCAATCCAGGCTGGTGTCAGAGTCTGCGGGACCTGTCCAGAGATCATTTGATATCTGGAGTCTGGGAGTTGACATCAAAGCTCCCTGGGGTTCCAGTATCTTCTCAAGATACAGCCACCCAGGGCCTCAGACTGAGGACAGATATGATTGCCTGGCTCACAAACTGTCAGAGTCAAGGTCGAACCAGCAAGTTGGGGTCCTTAGTGCCGGCTGCTGCGTGGGACTGAGCAGACGTGAGCTCCAAGGCTCTTCTCAGTACAGTGAAAGGCTTTATCTGAAATGGGGCTTATTGCTACTGAATATTAGCTCTTTACCCAGGCAGCTTGGAGATGTGAATTAAATTTACATGAGAATTCTAATAAAAGTCAGTTTTAGAACAATCAGGGTAGAATGGCAGAGTGCAAGGAGCTCTTAAATAATAATCCAAAGATACGGGTCTAAATACTAGCTCTGTCACCACCAGGTCTGTGATCCGGGGAAGTTCCTCAAGCTTTCTGAGATGCAGATTACTCATGGTTGCCACATGGCATTGTATAGATGAAGGAGGATACCTTGGATGTCTTTTTTTTTTTTTTAATATTTGTTTATTTTTGAGAGAGAAAGAGAGAGAAAGCATGAGTGGGAGAGGGGCAGAGGGAGAGGGGGACAGGGGATCTGAAGCAGACTCCAAGCTGTCAGCATGGACCCTGATGCAGGGCTCGAACCCACAAACCATGAGATCATGAGCAGAGCTGAAGTCGGATGCTTAACTGACTGAGCCACCCAGGTCCCCCTTGGATATCTTTTATAAGGTATTTTGAACATGGCGAAGCACTTGACCAACCTTCCCACGATTCTTCTGGATCCATTCACAGCAGGATGCTTCAGGAAGCCCCATCAGGGCACCATCTTGCCCTGGAAGAGTGTTGTCAGAGTTTAGGGAAGATAGGGGAAGGTGGAACAGGTGTACCAAAACATGCAGGAACACTGAGACAGAGGGAGTGGTTTGTCCCCAGAGCTGCCTTGGGTTCTTGGAGTGGGGTTCCCTACCCCACTTCCCTTCCTTCAACACCCTATGACTTGAGCAAACTTCAGACGTCTCTGTTCCTCACGAGCATGCTGACCGCCTTCACTTTAATTCACATGTGGGTCTTGCACAGCTGTGGACCATTCAGGCCCCCTTTTCTGGGGGCCATTCTCTCCCATTTATTTTCATGCAGAGATGGGTCAGACAGGGCAGGTGGGGTCACGAATATCCATGAAGGCTTGGGTTTTTACTGATACACAGACCATGGCCAGTGTCCATAGGAACCGCAAAGGCTGGGGTTGGAAGTACCCACCAAGTCCCCAAGTATGGGGGCTGAGCCCAGCCTAATGCCAGTGGTATCCTGCCCATTCTTCTCCCGGGGGAGGAGAGGTCTCAACCTTTGAGAGCTTCCAGAAAGGGGGACAGCCCACAGCTACTTCTGCCATCTCAGCCTTTTACCTTGTTTGCTTAGAATTTGTCTCATTCACCCAGGAGCACCCAGCCCTGGTAACTGGACAGTGGACAGGGCCACTGGTAAGTGGACAGGGCCACCGGCTCAGCTTTGCAAAGGCTTGGTGGTTCTCCTTCTTGGTCTCAGCCTCTCCTCCCTCAATGGCTCAGGGGCAGGCTTGAACCTGCAGCTCCACTCTGGCTTCTAGCCCTGCCCATCAACAGAGACCCAAAATATCCCCAAGACCTTCCGCTAAGTCCCTCCAGGACTTTTTAATTCCTAAACTTCACCATAATATACTCTGTGTCTACCAAATAATCCTGATGCCTTCCATCCCCCCACTTCTCATCCATTATATTGAACCCCTGAGTGCTCTGCCATTCTCCTCCTTGGGGGTATGAGGAAGGGGAACAGGGAGGTGTGCAAGACCCCTCTAAGACCCCTCCAAGAAATGTCCGATGTTCTTTGCCTCACCAGTCACCCTTTCCGGTTTCAGGCCAAGAGCTCGCAAGACACTGCGGGAGAGGCGGGATCCGCCGCCCCAGACCAGCCAGCACCGCCAGAGCCCCCAGCCCGCAGCTCTCCGCCACCAGCCTCCCCTGAGAGGCCGGAGGAAGGCAGGGAAGGGGCGGCTGGGCCGGAGGAGCACTCGGTGCAGATCCGCATGAGCCCAGGCCCAGATCCCGGTGAACAGATCCTGTTGGTGGAGATCCCGGAGGAGAAGGAGATCCCCGAAGAGGAGGAGATCCCGGAGGAGAAGGAGATCTCGGAGGAGAAGAAGGAGATCCCGGAGGAGAAGAAGGAGATCCCCGAGGAGAAGGAGATCCCCGAGGAGAAGGAGATCCCCGAGGAGAAGAAGGAGATCCCAGAGGAGAAGCAGGAGGCCGAGTGAGGCTGCCGCCAGCGAGCCACTTCCGGCAGGTGCAGGCGCGTCCCGAGCAACGCGCCCCTCTCCTACAGGCCCAGACTCCCGGACTCAGTAGTGTCTGTCATTCTGGCCCAGCGGGCTTCTGCCAAGGCTGGTTTTGAAGTCAACAAATGTCGTTAGTGTCCCTGAGTTCCCACCATCACCTGAGAACCCTACATCTTCCGACTGTTATTTTTAAAAACAAAATTCTTTTCTATTTAAAAAGTTTGTGGGGAAAGGCTAGGCTGAATGGGACTCCAACCCTCCGGGAAGCTTTGTTGGAGACTAAAGGGTTATTGAATGTTTGGGTTTCAATCTCCCACATTTCAAGGATAGAAAACCTGCCAGCAGGTGGGAAGCCTGGCTGGCTCAGTGGGTAGAACATGGGACGCTTGATCTCAAGGTTGTGAGTTCAAGCCCCACATTGGGTGTAGAGATTAAAACAAAAACAGCTTGTCAGCAGAGGGGTAGCTATGCTCTGCTGCTCATTTGACTAAATGGGAACTGTGGCTCACCTGACCTGATTAGGGACAGGATGCCCATTAGGGTAGTTAAGCATGGATCTGTCCCCGGCTTGCATTCAGTTCTGAGTCCGATGTCTTCACCTAGTTCTGGTCTGCAGGGATTCATGCTTGCTTACTTTAACACCCTTGCCATAGAGATGATGGTGGCAACTTCCATTAATCCTGGAAGACAAAATTACAGCTGGCACCACTGAAGTTCCTGATGCTTCCCCAGATCAAGTCATGTTGCTTTAATGATTCAAAATAAAAGGGGGGGGGAGGTGGGATGGGGAGGAGTCCTCAGTCACTGAATATTGGGAGGATTTCATTTGCATATCTAATGGCTCTTGGGGGAGTGGGTGATTAAACACAAAAACCCGCCCTGGGCCATTTGTTTCCACCAGCAACAATGAACACAAAAAGCCCCGGAATTCCAATAGGTACTGCCCATTTTATATAAAATTGCAGGACATTGTGAACTGCTGAAGAGGCCTTTGAGGGCTTACAAATGTGTGTATTTGTCTATCGGCCTAAAACCAGAACATTCATTTCCCCTGTGAAAAAAATGAAACAATATGGGAGTTCTCAGCCTGGTCTAAACACTTCCAAATCCCAGGGTAACAAACAGATTTCTCTAGTTGATGACATACCATGTGATCTGAGTAATCACATTGTATATAGTGATGAGCAGCATTATTTTAGCCTTTTAAAAAGCTTTTATTAATTTATTTTAATAAATTTTTATGGGTATGAAAGGCTACCTAGTTAAAATGATCCCTCCTACCCCTGGTGCCCAACCTCCCTGGTCCCCTTCCTGGAAGCAACCACTTCTTTCTCATGCTCTTCCTTTTTTTTTTTCTTTCACAAATAATAACATACTAGAGCTGCTGTTGTTTTTCATTTGATTTATTCTGAAGATTCTTTCTTCTTACTATATAGAGGGGATGCTTATTTTTCATGCCTACAATCTAGTCCATTGTCTGCAAGTATCATAACATTTAACGGCTCTCCAATTGACAGGCATTTGCCACGTTTTCAATCTTATGCTGTTAAGAAATAGTGCTGCAATTAAAAAAATCATATACATAACTTCACTGGGAAACACTGTTTTTAAATAGGGGAAATCTGGAGGTTTGGGCTAATTTTTGCTTTACCATCCCCAATTATCATATTCATATTTACACTACATATTCTGTTTTCTTTCTTTTTTGAGAGAGAGAGAGAGACAGAGCGTGAGCGATGAAGGGGCAGAAAGAGAGGGAGACACAGAATCCGAAGCAGGCTCCAGGCTCTGAGCTGTCAGCACAGAGCCCGATGCAGGGCTTAGATCCACAAACCAAGAGCTTGTGACCTGAGCCCAACTCGGATGCTTAACCAACTGAGCCACCCAGGTGCCCCCGCACTTCCTGTTCTAAATCCAAGCATAGAGAATGCTTCCATTTTTAGCAAGTATTTCAGATATATCAATCAAGTCAATGTATTACCCTTCAGTAGATGGCAAAATGTTTTGAAGGCACCTTCACTGTGAGATCCTATTTTATAAGGAAGCTTTGTTTATATGAACATACTCATTATTTTAGATATCAACTCTTGAATGTATACTGCTTATTATATAAAGCGAGAGATTCTTGAGGTTTTCCAAGAACTGTCCTGGAAAGAAAATTGATTTCTTTTCTTTTCTTTTTCTTTTTCTTTTTTTAATTTACATCCAACTTAGCATAGAGTGCAACAGTGATTTCAGGGGTAGATTCCTTAATGTCCCTTACCCATTTAGCCCATCCCCCCTGCCACAACCCCCTCAGTAACTGTTTGTTCTCCATATTTAAAAGTCTCTTATGTTTTGTCCCCCTCCCTGTTTTTATATTATTTTTGCTTCCCTTCCCTTGTGTTCATCTGTTCTGGTCTTAAAGTCCTCATGAGTGAAGTCATATGATATTTGTCTTTCTCTGACTCATTTCGATTAACATAATACCTTCTAGTTCCATCCATGTAGTTGCAAATGGCAAGATTTCATTCTTTTTGATTGCTGAGCAGTACTCTATTGTATATATATATATATATATATATATATATATATATATATATATATATATATACAATAGAGTACTGCTCAGCAATCAAAAAGAATGAAATCTTGCCATTTGCAACTACATGGATGGA